GGAAAGAGAGCAAAAGAATAAAGAAAGAAGGAAGGAAGGAAGGAAGGAAGAAAGAAAGGGAAGAAAGAGAGAAAGAAAGGAAGGAATGAAGAGAGGAAGAAAGTTAAAATAATTCTTAAAATTCTAAATTCTTTAGTCATACGTAGGTCCTTTGCTTATACAAAAACATAAATATACTTAGTTTTTCCTAGAGGGTGTCTGTGCTTGCCAGAGAGAGACAGGCACACACACACAGAGTGAGAGAGAAACAAAGAGAAAGCAAGAAATCATCCTCCAGAGAGGATGGCCACGCTTGCAATCCCTTCTCCATTCTCCTTGGGATTTTGAGCACACATGCTGCTGGGTTTGGGACTTGGACCACACAGTTGGCCATTTGGATCTAGCCTCCTTAATTTCCATGCCACCTTCTGGCCCTAGAGCTTTATATTTTATGAGCTTTGTCAGTTTCAGCATGGTTTGATCAAGAGTCAAACATGTCTATAGGGGCAGAGCTAGAATCAAACTGGCCACACACACAATTTTTTACTTATTTTCTTTTCTTTTTTCTACTTCTTTTCAAGGAAAGTTTGTTGTTAGCTACTAGGACAACTTAACCAGGTCCTAAATTGAACAGCATGTATCTTAAAAGGAGAACAGCATGTATCGTAAATTTTTATTAGATAGGGAAAACTTGAAAATGTAGTTCTGAGATTGCTTTATTTTATTTGGTCCATTAGAACCGATAATAACAACTATGGAAAAAAGATTATAAAATATGCTTTACCATGTGAGGGTAGAAGACAACTAAGTGTTGTACAAGAGACAGAAGAAACACCGTGCGGGACCAGCAGGTGGCGTAGCAGTTACATCACTAGACTCCCACATGGCTGACCGTGGTTCAAGTCCTGGACCCAGTGGCTTGAAACTCATGCCAGGTGTGTGTAGATGCATGCCCAAGATCCTGGGAGGACAACTGAGGAGAAGGGATTGCAGCGTGGCCATACTGCCTAGGGGGTGATTTCTCACTTTCCCTCTCGCCATGTCTGTCTGTCTGTCTGTCTCTGGTAAGCACACACACCCTAAGGCAAAATCCTCTAAAAAATAAACAATTTTTATTTAAGGCCTACTGCCCTAGGCCTTGACGAGCAGGACAGTATACATAGCACAGAGAGGGCTCTCAGATAGGGAAGCTGAAATTAATCCACATGGAGAAGGGAAGGCTAGGGTGGAGAGATTCTGGGTTCTGAAAGGCAGCTGGCAAGATGGCAATTCCGACTGAGGAGGAGATGAGGAAGCAACATGTGCCAAGAGGTTACTTCGTGAATTGTGGGGTACTGGGTAGGAAGGGGGTGTTTGGCAGATGCCCTGGTCTAGCCCTCTCTGGAGATAGGCATGAGAAACATCGGAGGCTCTGAGATCAGACATATCTGGGTCTGAATCCTGATCCTTTTGTGATCTGAGGAGAGTTTCTTAGCCTATGTAAACCTCCAATTCACCACACTCAAAAGCAGAAGTCAAATGGCTACGGACTATGTAGATGAGTGCCTGGCACGTAGCGGACTCTCGGGAAACCCTGGTTTCATTTGCTGTCCTCCCTTGATCTCCAACATTCACCCAAACTCTTTGTTCCTCCTTGCTCCTTTAGGTGACTCTGGTGTCAGCTGGTGGGGCGGTGGGTGATGGCATCCCTGCTACAAAGCCGTGAGTACCTCTGCAGGGGAACGGCTTGGGGGACAACCCAGGGAAGAAAAGGGAGCTAGACCCCTGTTCAGAGCTCCTGGGCCCTCTACCCTCTCTACTAGCTACCTAGCTCCTACTTCTTCTGGCCCAGGGTTGACCACGGATGAGGACCTGCTGCTAATGCAGGAAGGCATGTTGATTCGCAAGGTGAGGACCAAAAGTTGGAAGAAGCTAAGATACTTCAGGCTTCAGAACGACGGCATGACAGTCTGGCATGCGCGGCAGGCTGGGGGCAGTGCCAAGCCCACGTGTGAGTGACCTGGATAACTGCGGGTAAACGTGCGTGTGGGAGCCCAGCAGCCTGACAGGGGAGGGACCAGGGTCCTCTGATAGCATGCCCTTGTTTGTGCTGTCCCACTTGTGACTATATCTGAGCCCATTAAAGGAGATCATAACTCATCTCATAAGGCCGTTGTGAGGATTCAATTAGTTATTGCATATAAAGAGCTCAGAAGAGTCCTGGCACATAGTAAGACTCCATTAATCAAAGTTACATCTTATTATTAATATAAAACCATGATCTCAGATATCAGCCTGCCTGGGTCAGAGCCCTGGCTCTGCCATTTTCTAGCTGAGTGGCTTTGGACAACTTAATTAAACTAAGCTTCAGTTTCCTCATCTGTAAAGTGGGGATTAAACAGTACCTACCTAACAAGTTACAAGGACTCATAAGTTAATGTATGAAGTCCCTAGCATGAGAGCAAGATGCATTTATAAATGTTAGCCAGTATGATAAATATTTTTAAATGTAAAAAAGTGCATCATAACAGTGAGCACCCTACTGGCCACTTATGATACCTCTGAAAATTTGATCACAGGACACATCTAGGAGAGTCTGCTTTAGAGACATAACCAGAGTTCACAATCCACACTGCCCCTGGCTAAGGTAAGGGGGTGGCTCTGGCTCCCTTCTAGACACCTGAAAAGAAGAAGTCCTCAAACCTGGAAGGAGAGGACTTAATTTAGGGGTACAATATTTTGGTGTAACTATTTCTACCTTTCAAATGTGTTTCCATCTGTCATCCTTGCCTGTCCTTCTGTGATCACCATCGGGACTGGCCATGGAAAGAGACCATCCATTATTTAAGATGAAGACACTGAGGGGTTAAGTAATTTCAGCTGGTGGCCAAAAGCCAGGTTTTGCCACTGCTAGCACAGGCTTTTTGCCATGCTGCTTATGAAAGTATCAGCGACTCATGTGGACTTCGGAACCCCAGGGGTCTGCATCTCCCGTAATAATGCTTTACGAGATTCAGCCTGGGATTCCTGCTCTTTACGGCTTCACGGAGGAAAGGGTGTTGGTACTGGGCCCAAACCCCTATAATTGGTCAGACTCTCTCAGTGCTTCCACCTGCTTCTTCTCTGGCAGTCTCAATATCTGATGTGGAAACAGTGCGTGAAGGCCATGACTCTGAGTTGCTGCGCAGCCTGGCAGAGGAGTTCCCCCTGGAGCAGGGCTTCACCATTGTGTTCCATGGCCGCCGTGCAAACCTGGACCTGGTGGCCAATAGCGTTGAGGAGGCCGAGGTCTGGATGCGAGGGCTTCAGCTTTTGGTGGACCTTGTTGCCAGCATGGACCAACAGGAACGGCTGGACCAGTATCAGCAGGATGGAGTCAGGGTGGGGATTGGGAATCAGTGAAGGAGCCAGATGCTGCAGGTCTAGGGAGGGTAGAAGGGGTGCAGTGCTAGGGAGGTCCGTGGGTTCAGATGGTTCAGACAGGGACAGCTCAGTCTGATGTGAAGCTGAGACTGCTGAGGGAGGAATGGATGCTTAGGGATGGCAGAAAACATAACCAGGCAGAGTTTGGGCCTGAAGCAAGAACCCCCAGGACTGGAGGAAGGGACAGTGAGATGCAGAGTTGCAAATGAGGCGCTGCTCCTGAGAGCTGAACAGAAGGTCCCAGCAGCTTTAACTACTGCAGGGGTGGGCAGCAACCCTGTGGACCATATACTGGTTTACTTTTTCATTTATTCACATCTATTCAGCATAATGTATAAGGCACTATGTCAGACTTTAGGGGTACAAAGGACCTTGAATAACTCCAGTTAGTACAGAATTGTGTAAATAATCTATGTGCCATACAAATGTTACAGTATTTGGATTATTTGAAATAGTCAAAGAAAGGATACCTAATTCTGCTTGTGAGGGTTCTGAGAAAGCTTCAGGAAAGAAGTAGCATGTGAACTAGACCTTGAAAATCAGTAGAATTTGAACATGAAGGAGGAAAAGGGAAAGGCACTCCAGCCTGAAGAAATAGTATGAGGAAAGGTCAGAGGGAGGAAACTGAAGAGCAAGCAAGAGAGTGGGACATTAGAGAGCAGGGAGTTGCTGAGTCTGGCTAAAGTACCGGGAGAACAGAGATGGACTGAGAAGGTGGGTTGGGCCCAGATCCCGGGAGTGAAGGGGATCTTCATTTCTAAATTAAGGAATTTGGATTTTTTTTTTTTTTTATCAGGCAACAGGCAAGTCGCTGTAGGCACCTGAGCCATGCAGTGACAAGATAGATTGGTACACCAGACAGGTTATTCTACTAATAGAAGCTGGGTAGAGAATGGATTGGCCTTGGGGAAAGACTGACAGCAAAGACAGGGGAGAGATGAGTGTGGATGAATATACACGCGCATCTGCACACACAAACATATGCATATAGAGCGTTGGCCTTGACTCAGACCTAGATGGCTAAATGACTGGTTCCAGCGTGGAGACAAAAACCAGGATGGTCGGATGACTTTCCAAGAAGTTCAGAGATTACTGCGCCTAATGAATGTGGAAATGGACCAAGAATATGCCCTTAGTCTTTTTCAGGTGAGTCTGCTGGGGAAGGATTTGCAGGGGCCAACCAGGCCAGAAGTCCTCTGACCTCACTCAGCAACACTCATTTGTTGAATGCCTACTATGTGCCCTAACACCATGCCTGGCTCAGTGGAACTGTAGGGCATGATTCCTGCCCTTCTGTCTTGTTGGAAAGATCAGTCCTAATCTTTTTTTTTTTTTTTTAATCTTTTTTTTTTTGGAGAGGTTTTTTTCGCTATAGGGCGTGTGCGCTCGCCAGACAGACAGAGACATAGAGACAGAAAGCGAGAAATCACCCCCCAGGGGGGATGGTCACGCTGCAATCCCTTCTCCTCCATTCTCCTCTTGGGATCTTGGGCACGCACGCACACGCGCCCGGCGTGAGATTTAAGCCACCGGGTCCGAGACGCGAACCGCGGTCGACTACGTGGGAGTCCAGCGACATAGCCATTACACTAACTGCTGGTTCCCAAGTTCTAATCTTATGAAAGGTAAATAACAATATGTTATTACATTGACCCTCAAGGACCTGTCTGTCCCTGGTCAGAATTTCATAGGTAGGTGCCAAGTACAATGGAAAACCTCAGCTGGAATACGAGTAAATAGGAAGAGGGGTCTTCTTCTTTTCTTAAAAAATAATTATTTTATTTAACTTTATTTATTTATTTTAATTTGACCAGAGATAGGGGAGGAGAGAGAGGGAAAGCAAGCCACCAGGTTCGGGACTTGAACCGTGGTTGGCCATGTGGGAGTCCAGTGCCCTTAACTACTATGCCATCTACTGGCCCCAAGCGGTCTTCTTTTCCTCACAAAGGGAATTTTATTGATTACTTTATTCCCTCACAAAAAGATCAATCATAAATGAGGTGAACATTCACATTGAGATTTTATTGTCTTCATAATAAAACAAAAGATGAAACTTAGAACTGGATCATTTGACCCTTTCTCTTCTTATCTCCTCCCAATTCAAAATGTTTACAACTTTTTTTTTTTTTAGTTTTTTGCTTTCGGCACGTGGGCTCACTGGAGAGAGAGAGATAGAGACAGACAGAGAGAGAGAAAGTGGGAAATTCTCTCTCAAGGGGATGGCCACGTTTCAATCCCTTCTCCTCTCAGGATTTTGGGTGTGCACACACATATTCCTGGCATGTTTTTCAAGCTGCCCAGTCTGGGACTGGAACCACAAGCTGGCCATGTAGGATCCAGTGCCTTAACCACTACGCCACTTGCTGGCCCCCTAGATGCTTACATTTCTCTCTGTCTCTTTTTTCATAATTACTTGCTGTAATTATTTATTTATTATTATTTTAATCTGACCAGAAAGAGATAGAGAGATACAGAGAGAGGTGGGGGGAGTGAGAAAGCAAACCATCAGGTCTAGGACTTGAACCGCAGTTGACTATGTGGGAGGCCAGCACTTTAACCACCACGCCGCCTGCTGGCCCTATCTTGCATCTCTCTCTCTCTTTTTTTTCATCTCTTAATAATCAGCATTCTCTTAGATCTGAATACATTCAAGCCTCAGCATAACCTTCTTTGTAGTTTTAGCCGTTTTCCAAACATTGGGTTTACACTGTCTACCACAGCCATACCATAGACATAACTGTCTACCTGTTTCCTGTCATAACACCACTTTCTCTGAGCATCCAGAGAATCCTTGTGTGTTTTGTACTGTGTCAATTTGTGAGGCCAATTCTTGCCACACTTCTTACGGAAAGTCCAGTAGATTTTAGAGATGTTTGCAGGCATATTATCTACAGAAAAAGAGAGACCGAAGAGAGAGGTCTTCTGAAGGTTGGGGGTCTTCTGAACCCCTTTTGGAAAGCTTTGAAAGATTTAACTCTTTTATTTCTAAAACTTTTATTTATTTATTTATAGCTTGCTATTTGAGTAGTGTGCTTGCTGGAGATGTCGGGTTGGGGGAAGAGGGGAGGAGTGAGAAATCACCCCCCAGATAGGCTGGGCACACTGCAATGCCCTCTCCTCTATTCTCTTGGGATCTGGGGCATGCATGCCACACGTGCCCAGCATGTTTTTAAAGCCTTTGGGTCCAGGACTCCAACTGACCATGTAGGATCCAGCCGCGTTAAACACCACACCACCAGCTGACCCAAATGTAACTCTTTCTACTTGGAAATTTTCTCTTCCTAAACCCTTTCCTGCAGGCAGCAGACACGTCCCAGTCTGAAACTCTGGAGGGAGATGAATTTGTACACTTCTATAAGGCATTGACTGAGCGTGCTGAGGTACAGGAACTGTTTGAAAGCTTTTCAGCCGATGGGCAGAAGTTGACCCTGCTGGAATTCGTGGATTTTCTTCAAGAGAAACAGAAAGAAACAGACCATGTCTCAGACCTTGCTCTAGAATTCATCAACCGCTATGAGCCTTCAGAGAGTGGTAAGAGGAGCCAAGGGAGCTGGCAGGTAGCATGGTGGTTAAGGGTGCTGGGCTCCCACATGGCCGACTGCAGTTCGAGTCCTAGACCTGGCTGCTTGCTTTTTCACTTTCTCTCTCTTTACTCTGTCCCTCTCTGGTTAAATTAAAATAAATAAATAAATAAAGTTAAATAAAATGATTTGTTAAAAAAAAAAAAAAAGAGGAGCCATAGGGGATGGGGATTATAAAGGTCCAGAAACAAACAGCCTTCTGCTTAACTTAGCGAAGGCTTAGTTCACCCTTATTGTGGCCCCCGCCCAATCATCTCATTTAACTAGCTATCTTGAGGAAAGCAGCAGTTCCCTGCCCAGATAAGACAGGAGTCTTCTCAGTAATGCTCTCTTTCTCAGGAAGGTGAAGGTTCCACAGGTCCTCTTTCTTCCACTAGTTATGCTTCATACCCTTTACCTTGAGGAACATTCTGTTATCAACTTTGTCCTTAGTAGAAATAAAACCTTTGGTCCTTATAGCCAAAGTGGATATTAAGGCAACTGGATTCTTGGGGCTTGTGGGTGGTGTGTTGGTTAAGGGCACTGCACTCCCACATGGCTGACTGTGGTTCAAGTCCCAGACCTGGTGGCTTGCTTTCTCACTTTCCCTCTCTGTCTCTCTCTGGTCAAAATTGAAGAAATAATAATAGTCAATAAAGCTAAATAAATACTTCTTTAGGACCAGCAGATGTAATGGTTATTCCACTGGACTCCCATGTAGTTGACTATGGTTTGAGTCCCTAACCCAGTGACTTTAAACTCAGGCCGGTGTGTGTGTGTGTGCATGTCCAAAATCCTGAGAGGAGAATGGAGAAGAGATTGCTGCATGGCCATCCCCCCGGGTGGTGATTTCTCACCTTCTGTCTCTCTGTCTGTCCAATGAGCGCAGGCACCCTATTGCAAAAATCTCTCTCTAAAAGAAAAAGGACAACTGGATTCTACATAGCCAATGCCAAACTATAAGTACCAGACCCAGTGGCTTGAAAATCACTCTAGGAATGTGTGCATGTGTGTCTAAAATCCTGAGAGGAGAATGGAGGAGAAGGGATTACAGTGTAGCCATCCCCTCTGGGGGTGATTTCTTCTTCTTCTTTTTTTTTTTTTTTTTTGGAGGGGTTTTGCTATAGGGCGCATATGCTTGCCAGAGAGGCAGAGTGTGATGAATTTATATTAATAATAAATTATTTACTAGGTGCTTCCTCACTTCATTTAATCCTCACTGCAAGCTTAAAAACCAGTAGCAATAATCTTTTTTTAAAGTTTTATTTATTATTATTTTTTTAAAGATTTGCTGTAGGACATATGACCAGAGAGAGACAGAGAAAAAGAGAAGAGGAAAGAGAAAGTGAGAAAGCAAGCTGTGAGGTCTGGGATTCAAACTGTTGGCCATCTGGGAGTCCAGCACTTTAACCACCATGCCTCCTGCTGGCCCCAGCAGCAATAATTTTTATTTGCTATGTATCTCATATGTGTTAATAGCTCTACATGCCTTTTTTCTTCTAATCCTTCCAACAACCTGCTGAAATGGATTGTATTATTAAGGCAGTTATACAAAAGAGAAAACCGAAGGGCCCGGGGGGTGGCATGGTGGTTAAGGGCGCTAGACTCTCACATGGCCAACCATGGTTTGAGTCCCGGACCCGGTGGTTGCTTTCTTACTTTCTCTCTCTCTCTCTCTCTCTCTCTCTCGCTCTGTCCCTCTCTGGTCAAATGAAAATAAATAAACAAAAGTTAAATTATTCCTTAAAAAAAGAGGAAAACTGAGTTTTAGAAAGTTTAATGATTTGCTCAAAGCAACAACTAATGAAAGAAGAACTAGGACTCAAACCTTTGTCATCTTGCTCTTAACTGGTGTGTCTTTTGAGAATGAGGATGAGATGGGATAACTTAGGGCAGGACTTGGTCTCAATTCCAGCCCTCTGTCATTTATTCATGACTTCAGGGAATGCTTATTGAGTACCTTTCATGCGTCAGGATCTATGCTAGGCACCAGCCATACAGTAGTACCTAGATCAGACAAGGACCAGAAACTGTCGGAACTGGTGATTCCAGATTTGTGGTGGTGGTAAGAATGATTTCAGAAAATGAAATTGAGGAGGTGGGATGAAAGACAGGTTGTAAGGGTGCTGGGATATTCCCACTCAAAGCTTCTCACTCTAGTATCCCCCTTATCGCACTCCAGGCAAACTGCGGCATGTGCTGAGCATGGATGGCTTCCTTAGCTACCTCTGCTCGAAAGATGGAGACATCTTCAACCCAGCCTGCCTTCCCATCTACCAGGATATGACTCAGCCCCTGAACCATTACTTCATCAACTCCTCTCATAACACCTACCTAGTGAAGGACCAACTTTATGGCCAGAGCAGCGTTGAGGGATATATACGGTACAGTGGTGGTAGAGAAGCTCGTGAGAGGGACCATCTGTGGGAAACTTATGGGGGTTGTCAGTGGGTAACAGGGATTGAGAAGGTGGTGTGAGGGGTTAGGAGCCAAGAGCCCCTGGATACCTGAGACACTTGGAGGAGATAGTGAAGATTAGTGGGAGAATGGTAATGAAACTCTATGGGTAAATGGGACTTCTCTCTTTTTTACAAACTATAAAACACTCCTGGAACTCAGGGGCCCTGACAGGTATGGAAGGCAATAGCACATAGGAGTTAAAAACATTAAGTTCAGATCATCTGAGGTCAAATTCTAGCTCCCTCACTGGGGCTAAGTATTTACCTATGTTTCAGTTTCCCCGTGTATGAAATAGGGATGATCACAATGCCTATTCTGTCTGGGTTGTTACGAAGATTAAATGAGATAATCTATATGTCAACAGCTAATAATTGTAGCCACTTTTATTGTGATTAATCATGGATTAGATTGAATAGTCAAGATATCTTTGTAGTGTTAGCAGCTTAAATAGTAACTGATAAAAAGATGAGTGGGACATATAATTTCCACCTTAAGAAGCACAGTTGAAAAAATAAGGCATAAATTTACTGAGAGTTTGAGTAACCCAGGTGTTGTGTAGAGATATATAGTCACAGTACCAGAAGTCTCATGAGGCAATGTGTGACGGGTTGGGTGGGGGAGAGGTGGAGAGCTGTGTGAGCTTCTCTGGACAGATGCCTCTGGTAAAGACGCAGCCTAAAGGGGTCAGGATGGATACGTGCCGGTGAGCACTGTTCTCTCCAGAGGAGAGAAAGGATAGGATTCCTATGTGGAAGATCAGACCTTAACCTCTCCTGTTTGCCGTGGGCTTGGCATTCTTGCAGGGCCCTGAAGCGGGGGTGCCGCTGCGTGGAAGTGGATATATGGGATGGACCTAATGGGGAACCCATCGTTTACCATGGACACACCCTGACTTCTCGCATCCTGTTCAAAGATGTTGTGGCCACAGTAGCACAGTATGCTTTCCAGGTAGTACCCCCAGGATGGGACACTTGGTGAGGCAAAAGTGACTGGCTTTGAGTCTGAAAAGGGTGGAGGCACACAGGAGAGCTCAAATGGCATGATATATGTAAGAGAGGTTTTGTTTTTTGTTTTTAAGAATTATTTATTTAATTTTATTTATTCATTTATTATCACTTTTTAAATTTGATCAGAGTGAGACATAGAGGGGGAGAGAGAGAGAGGGGGAGTGCAAAAGCAAGCCATCAGGTCCAGGATTTGAACTGTGGTTGGTTATGTGGGAGTGTCCAGTGCCTTAACCACCATGCCACCTGCTGGTCCCCAAGAAGTTTTTTTTTTTTTTAAATTAAAGTTTATTTACCTATCTCTTCCATCTGAGAGAGAGAGAAAAAAAAAATACAGGCACTTCCAACAGGGTCTTCATGCTGTGATCCACCCCCAGCCACAGCTAGCCCTGATCACAGGCACGGTCACAAGCCTGGAGTACAAGGGAGGCTGTGGAATGCAAACTGGGACCTTCCCATGTAGGTACAGTAGCATTACCATTCTGCCACAATCTAGCCCCAATAAAAGAGATTTAACTATAAAATATCAGGCAACTATTAACAGATTGTTATGAATAAATATTGAGTGTGTTACTAATAGCAATGAGTATTAGTAGTCAGAAATTATTACTAGTGATTAGTAACTATTAGGTTGTCAGAAAAGTCATGACGTTTTTTTCCATGCAAAAATACATCATACCTTTTCTGATGTTGTCATCAGAAAAGTTATAACAAGGTCTCATCCATCTGGGATGGAGTGAATAAGGAAATAGAGATAGTGGTGAGTGGGGTGGGGGACAACAAGAATCTGGAGGGGAAAGCTTGAGAACATGATGTGAACTCATAAGCAGAGGAATAACCTGGGCGTCCCACTCTGAGCCTGAAAACTCAAAGGTTCCAAAGGGACCTGGGTCAGGAACGAGACTTGGTATGCTGACAGCGACCTTTCGATGTGAATCGTGTCCAGCAAATTCTCATTGAGCCCTGTAATGGGGCTGAAGGAGGTTATCAATCAGAGTACCCATCTGAAGGAATACATAGAAGGGCCTACGAAGCAGGTTTCTGGAGAAGGAGGGTACAAGGTTTTAGAACTCTGGATCCAGCATCCTGTCCCTTTACCACCAGACATCAGACTACCCAGTCATCTTGTCTCTGGAGAACCACTGCAGTTGGGAGCAGCAGCAGACCATGGCATACCATTTGACTGAGATCCTGGGGGAGCAGCTGCTGAGCGCCACCTTGGATGGGCAGCCGCCCATTCAGCTGCCCTCACCTGAGGTAGGGACCCTAGCCCCCCAGCCCAGACTCTACTGTGGCATACCCATTCTCCCACCTTGGCTCCATCCTGCATGCCTCTCTTGTTCTCTTTCTTCATTTTCAGATGGGCCATCTTGCTCCTTTTTTTTTTTTTCCCCTTTGTAATTTGCTAGAGGCCACATGCACTCGCCAGAGAGAGAAAAAGAGAGAGAGAGAGATGGAAAGTGAGAACATAACCCCCCATGGGGGATGATCACACCCTCTTTCATTTCACCCTCCCTTCAGGATTTTGGCCATGTGTACCACACACGCTTGTCATGTTTTTCAAGCTTCTGGGTCTGGCGCTTGAATTGTACAGTGGACCATGTGGGATCTAGGCACCCTAACCACCATGCCACTGGCTGGTGCTAGTCTCCAAGGATATCTCTCTCTCTTTCTCTCCTGCAAGTGGATGCAAATTTAAATATATATATTTTTTGGAGACTACTTTAACTTTAAAAAAAAATCATTCAATCTTATTTATTTAAATTTGACCAGAGAGACAGAGAGGGAAAGTGAGAAAGCAAGCTGCCAGGTCCAGGACTCAAACCATGGTCAGCCATGTGGGAGTCCAGCACTTTAACCACTATGTCACCTGCTGGCCCCTGGAGACTACATTAATTTGTAAAAATCTAATTGAACACAGAATTCTATTAATAGTTCCCTAAGTTGTTGTTGTTATATTTTTTGAAAGATTTTTGGTATAGGGCACATGTGCTCATTGGAGAGACTGAGAAAGAGAGACAGAAAGTGAGAAATCATCCCTGAAGGGGGATGGCCAAGGCTTAGTCCCTTCTCCTCCATTCTCCTCTCGGGATTTTGGACATGTACACACATGTGCCCTGCTTGAGTTTCAAGCCACCAGGTTTGGAACTTGAATCATGGTTGATCATGTGGGAATCCAGTGACTTAACACTATGCCACCTGCTTGCCCCTTATTATTATTATTATTATTATTATTATTATTATTAATTTTAGCACCTGTCGGAGAGAAATGGGTTTGGGGGGCAATGGTGAAAAGCACCCTCTGAGGAGATGGCCACACTACAATTTCTTCTCCTCCATTCTCTTGTCAGAAATTTTTTTCTTTCTTTTTTTCTTTTTTTGAGAGGCTTTTGCTATATGGCGCATGTGCTCACCAGAAAGACAGAGAGAGATAGAAAGTGAGAAATCACCCCCCAGGGGAGATAGCCACACTGCAATCCCTTCTCCTCCACTCTCCTCTCAGAATCTTGGGCACGCACGCACACGCACTTGGCGTGAGTTTAAGCCACTGGGCCTGGGACTCGAACCATGATCTACTCTACTACATGGGAGTCCAGTGACATAGCAATTATGCTAACTGCTGGTCCTTCTTGTCAGAATTTTGAGCATAAACACACATGCATGGTTTTGGCATGATTTTGAAGCCACCAGGTCCAGGACTTGAACTGTGCAGTCAGCCATATGGGATCCCACTGCCTTAACCTCCATGCCACCTGCTGGCCCTAGTTCTCTAAGGTTTAAATAAACTATTTATATTTATTTTTTCAATGAAAATACCTTAATTCTTTTCTTCATAGTTCATAATTGTTGTAGACTATACAAATAACATAAACAGAAATCTCCCCATCATAATCCCATAGTAAGAGCCATCAAAAGATTTTTAAAATGCATATGTATATATATTCACATTTTTAAAAAAGAGTTATTTTATTTAACTTTATTTATTATTACTATTTCCCAGTTTGATCAGTCAGAGAGAGTGAGAACGCAAGTCACCAGGTCCAGGACTTGAACCGAGGTTGACCATGTGGGAGTGTCCAGTGCCTCAACCACCATGCCACCTGCTGGTCCCATATATATTCACATTTTTTAAAAACCATGAATGGGATCACCCTTTATATCTCTTTTATGTCTCACATATAATGCATATCATAGGTGTCTTTTTTTTTTTTTTTTAATTTTGCTATAGGGCATGTGTACTTGCAGAGAGAGACAGAGAGGCAAAGTGAGAAAGCACCACTCATGGGCCGGATGGCCACACTGCAATCCCTTCTCTTCCACTATTCCATTGGGATTTTGGACATGTACACATGTTTCAAGCCATGAGGTCTAGGACTCGAACTGCACAATTGGCCATGTGGGATCTAGCTGCCTTAAGTACCACACCATCAGCTGGCTCATGGATATCTTTTTATGTATAATTTTTTTCCTGATAACTCTATAGTATTTCTTTTTTAAAATTTATTTAACTTTATTTTATTCATTTATTTTAATTTGACCTGAGAGGGGCAGAGAGATAGAGTGAGAAATCAAGCCTCCAGGTCCAGGACTCGAACCGTGGTCAACCAAGCACCTTTAACCACCATACCACCCACCAGCCCCTAACTCTATGGTATTTCACTTTGTGTTATGGGCCATAATTTATTCAAACAATTATCTATCTGGTAGATAATTAGATTTTTAAAATAGTTTTTCACTTATATATAGCTTTGTCCATTTACTTTTTCTTTAAAAGAGTCTCCTAGAAATAAAATTGCTGGGTTGGAGTTTACATTTTGATAATTTTGGTTGTCATTACCAAGTGGCCTCATTTATCTTTTTCCACGTACATAGAGACTTAACAATCTGTTTAACAATAAGGCCCTCTACTAACTTCTTCCTGTAAGAACTAGTGACCACTGGGACCAGCAGTTAGCATAATGGCTATGTTGCTGGACTCCCATGTAGTCGACAGTGGTTGGCGTCCCAGACCCAGTGGCTTAAACTCATTCCAGGCGTGTGTGCATGCGTGCCCAAGATCCCGAGAGAAGAATGGAGGAGAAGGGCTTGAGGTATGCCCCCCCCTCCCCGGGGAGGGGGTGATTTCTCACTTTCTCTATCTGTCTTTCTGATGAGTGCACGTGCTCTGTAGCAAAAACTTCTCCCCAAAATAGAACTAGTGACTACTCACTTCCTCCACATTTGAGGCAGCCCTTCAAGAGCAATGGGACCTATGCCATTCCCCAGGAGGGCCCCTGAGCCAGCAGGTAGACATCCCTGGGAGCATCATTTTTGTCCTCTAGGATCTTCGTTGGAAGATTCTGGTGAAAGGGAAGAAGTTAAGCACACTTGAAGAGGATCTTGAGGGTGAGGAAGAGGAGGAGAAGACAGAGACTGAGCTGGAAGGAAAGGAGGCAGAGTTGGGGATGGCGATGCACCCTGAGATGGAAACTGAGCTTGAGACCCAGAAGCTGAGCCCTCTGAGGAAGGATATAAAGGAGAAGGTAAGCCAGAAGTGGTCTTTCTGCTGTGGCATTTGGTCAACCTGCACTACAAGTTGAAGGCCCATTTGTGAAGAGACTAGAACCAGGCAGGAGGTAAAGAAAATGACCCCTCCTATCAATGAAAGAGGCATAAAAATGCATACACAGCATCACTATGTATTATATAGTGATACATATGCATATATTGCAATGAGTTTCCAACTTCTTTGGACCATGAAATCTTTTCCTCTTCTTTTTTTTCTTTGGAGAGGTTTTTGTTATTAGGGCACGTGTGCTCGCCAGAAAGGCAGAGACAGAGAGACAGAAAGCGAGAAATCACCTTCCAGGGGGATGGCCATGTTGCCGTAAGCCCTTCTCTATTTTCCTCTCGGGATCTTGGGCACACACGCACATGTGCCTGGTGTGAGTTTAAGCCACTGGGTCCGGGACTCAAACCATGGTTGACTACATGGGAGTCCAGAGACATAGCCATTACGCCAACTGCTGGTCCCAAATCTTTTCCTTTTTCCCTTTATTTTGTTTATTCATTTACTTCTTCCATGAGACACAGAGAAAGACAGGTGCCCCAATGTCTTCATGCCACAATCTACCCTCTGTCTCAGCCAGCCCAGATTGTGGGCATGCAAGCGCGCCTGGAATATCAGAATGCCTCTGGGCAAGAATTCGGGATCTTCCTATGTGGTTCCAGTTTGGCAGAGCAGTGTGTCACTGCTGAGCCACTGACTCATTTTCTTAATGAAATATTAAATGCTATCTTAGTGGATAGTATTTGGCTATCTCCTGGGTTCTCCAGGTGACTCCTGAGATATCTTTGTACTTCTCGGTCTCTTAAAGGCCAGTGTGAAAGATTCTAATGGATGTGTGTGTATCTGTGTGTGTGGCATTATCACACTTGGTAAGTATGGTTGCTGAGATGATGACTATGACCTCAACTAGAGTGGACTCTTAGAGAAAGCTTCTTGGAAACAGTGAGTTTGAGGGAGGGCCAGAAATGGCCAAACAGGAGTAGGAAGGGGAGAGTTTTGAGGTGGGAAAAATGAAGGCTCTGAGGCTTTGCCAGAGACCTCCCTAAAGGAAAGGGAGGCCAAGGTTGCAGTGGCTCTGGAGGGACCACCAAAATATTGAAGTCTGCATTTCTCTCTCTTGTGCATTTGCTTGGCTCACTCAGCAGACTGGCCTCCAGCTTACCTAATTGTTCTCTCTGGGGCAGGTGTCTGACCTGCTACCATGTCCAGGGATGGAAATAGGAATTCAAGTGCTAATCCCAAAGATATTATTCTGGGATCCTCATGTACCTTCCAGGTGTGACTACATGACCTTGATGTATCTGTCTGGATTTATGTACATTTTGACCAAAAATTATTGTTCATTTGCTTTAAAAGAAGTACAGAGATGACTCTTCTCTGTTTAAAAATTATAATAAATTGGGCTAGCAGGTGGCATGGAGATTAAAACATTGGATTCTGCATGGTTGGCTGCGTGGTTTGAGTCCTGGACTCGGTGTCTTGAAAATCACGCCGGGCGCATGTATATGTGTGCCCAAAATCCTGAGAGGAGACTGGAGGAGAAGGAATTGTGGAGTGGCCATCCTCCCTGTGAGTGTGTGGGAGGATTTCTAACTCCTTCTCTCTGTCTCTCTCTGGGAAACACATGCACCCTACATCAAATATAAAAAGATAAATACTAATAAAAATAATAAATGTAAAACCTGTTGCCCAGGATGTATCATAGAGCAGCCCCTCCAAGTCCAGAGCCTGAAACTGATCCCAACAGTAGATATAGACTGCCTTTCCCATCCCCAGGTTGTGACGTGCTCACGGTGTTTGCCTGTCTGTTGTCAGATTATGACCCAGCATTCTATTTCTGATTCTGGGTTCCTTCTCTCACCCAAGCAGGTGAGGCAGGAGGGAGAATGCAGTGGGAGGCAGGGGGCAGAGGCTTAGGCTGGATGGCCATTAACTTCCTTTTCAGACTGCTGAGGTTCAATTCCATCTTCCTCTCCACTTTCTTCTTCTCCAGAAATTCACGTCCGTCTTGTGTCCAGCCCTCTCTGCTCTGGTTGTCTACTTGAAGTCTGTCACATTCCACAACTTCACTCATTCAAAGGAGCATTACCACTTCTATGAGATGTCATCTTTCTCTGAAACCAAGGCCAAGAGCCTTGTCAAGGAGGCTGGTCAGGACCAAAGTGGAGGGAGACAGGGAGGGAAGTAGGATGGGTCAGTTCAGGGCCAATGACAGGAAGGTAAGTCCCAAAAAAGAGGACAAGGGAGCTAAGGAGAGGTGAAGGAGCTGAGAAATTTCTGAGAGTAGACAAGAGGTGAGAAATCATGAATACTAGGCTCAAGACTCTAATAAGGGGAAGAAATCTGAGGAAGATGGTCTGAACAGAGTAGAAAAACACATTAAGCTTTTTGGAGCCAGCCTTAGGAGATGTTGGGGAGAAGAATGGGTGGGCAGGGTCCTGGCAACCATGAGAGTGGTTCACTTCCTCCCTGTACCCTCTTACAGGCAACGAGTTTGTGCAACACAATGCTTGGCAGTTAAGCCGAGTGTATCCCAGTGGCCTGAGGACAGACTCCTCCAACTTCAACCCCCAGGAACTCTGGAATGCAGGCTGCCAGCTGGGTAAGGAGGCAGCAGGGACAAGATGGAGGGAGTGAAGGCCTGGCCAGCAGGTGAGAAGTAAAATCAATTCCTTAGTGTCGGTGGGACCAGGGAATACTTTAGCAGTGCTAGACTGAGAAGATGCCATCTATGGAGTGTTCCTAGCAGGCACTCACACCCAATACCTGTCTTCCTAACTCCCTGAAAGCTGGGAGGCCCCTAAAGTGACTGTCTCTTTTTCTCCTGGGGTCCTTAGTGGCTATGAATGTGCAGACTGCAGGGCCTGAAATGGACATCTGTGATGGGCTTTTCCGCCAAAATGGTGGCTGTGGCTATGTGCTGAAGCCAGACTTCCTGCGTGACACCCAGAGTTCCTTCCACCCCGAGAGGCCCATAAACACCTTTAAGCCCCGTCTCCTCTTAATCCAGGTATGATGGAAAGAGAAACTGTTGGGAGGAAACTGAGGGAAGATGTAGTTAGGCTTGATGAGAGTGTAAATTGGTTGAAAGCTCCTCATGAGAGGCAGGATATCCTGACTGCTAACATCATGGACTTGGGAACCAGTTGTCTAGCTTCAAACCCACTTCCTAGTTGTCTAGTGCTGGGCAGGATCCTTAACCCGTTTGTATCTCAGTCTGCTCACCTGCAAACAGGGATATTCTACTGCCTACCTCACAGGGTTGTGAGGATTACAACAGTTAATGTAAAGTGCTTACGACAGCTGCTGGTACACAGTTGAGCCACTGGCCATTGCCAATGCCATTTGCTGATACACAGGCTGGTGCCATTAGCAAGCATCTGGCAAGTTTCAAGCCACGAGGTGTGAGATTCGAACTTCAATCAGCCATGTGGGAGTCCAGCAATATAACCATTATACCATCTGCTGGTCCCCACGCCTCCTTTCAATCCTTGTTAAATTTCTACTTGGATGCATTTTTTTAAACATCTTTTTCTTTTAAATTGTCAGAGGGTGTATGTGCTTGATAAAAACTGAGGTAGAAAGCAACCTTCAATGGGGCAGGGACATGCCATAATCTCATCTCCATTTGTCCAGCCTGTTGGGATTTTTGGGCATGCACACACAGACTCAAGGCACTGGGCTGATTCTGAGATCTGGTTCCCTTAACCACTAGGCTATGGAGCCAGCCCTGGATGCATTTTATTTTATTTTTAAAAAAATAATTATTTTATTTAACTTTATTTATTTATTTATTTAATTTAAATTTGACCAGAGAAAGACAGAGCAAGAGAGAGAGGGAGAGTGAGAAAGCAAGCCACCAGGTCCAGGGCTTGAACCATGGTCAGCCATGTGGGAGTTCAGCATCCTTAACCATCACACTACCTTTTGGTCCCTAGTTTAAAGAATTATTTTATTTGACTTTATCTATCTATTCATTTATATTTTCTCAGAGGGGAACAGAGTGAAAGAGAGAGAGAAAGTGAGAAAGCAAGGCGCCAGGTCCAGGACTCAAATCACGGTTGGCCATGTGGGAGTCCAGCACCCTTAACCACCATGTCACCTGCTGGCTCCCTGGATGCATTTTAAATTGCAGACAGAATACTAGAAAATACATTACTCATGGAGGATTAGTTTTGCATACCTAAAAGCTATAGTACAAAGTGTCTTCTCTTCTGGGGTGTGAGAGCTGAAGTGTGGGTTAGGCTGAACAGGAACTCCTGAGATTCCAGAGCCCTGGTTGCAGGTGATCAGTGGTCAGCAACTCCCCAAAGTGAAGAAGACCAAAGAGGGGTCCATTGTGGATCCACTGGTCAAAGTGCAGATCTTCGGCACTCGTCCAGACACAGCCCAGCAGGAGACCAACTACGTGGATAACAATGGTGAGTGACTGACCAGTGCTGGGAAAGGAGGTGGTGGGAGCACGACCCCATTCTCCCTTGGCCTCCACCCAATATAGTTCATGCCATGGGCTATCCTCAAGCCTCCCTCCTCCCACAGGGGAAGCAGTGTGGAATGGATACAAAGAATCCTAGTCACTCACTTACAAACTCCAGTGACCCGGGAAAGTTACTCACTCTAAGCCTGTTTCCTCACCTGTAAAATGTCGTTTAAGCTAAATGAGAATACAGGGAAAGCAACTCAGTATGGGCCTAAAAAGAGTAACACCTGTTCCTTCATTCTGCTGTACCCTGCACCTCAGGTTTTAATCCACACTGGGGGGAGACATTACGCTTCCGAGTCCTGGTGCCTGAACTTGCCATGCTGCGTTTTGTGGTAAAGGATTATGACTGGAAATCCCGAGACGATTTTATTGGTCAGTACACACTGCCTTTGACCTGCATGCAACAAGGTGAGCCAGCCCTTTGACCCCGGCCAACAGCCCAGCTCTGGCTGCCTTTCTAATGCTGTCTCCCTGCCCTTTTCCAGGTTACCGCCACATACATCTGCTCTCCAAGGATGGCACCAGTCTCCACCCAGCTTCCATTTTTGTGTACACTTGCCTCCAGGAAGAGGAGGAGGTTGAATCCTGAGGTGGGTACTTTATGGGAAGGCTGGGTGCGTTGCATTGGCTTTTGATAGTAAGAAAAACCTGGAAGGATGCTCTAGAAAGCAAACACAAGTGATGAAAACTAGGGTCTGGATTTTGCATTCCTAGGCATAAAATTATCTCCTCCTCCCTAATAAGCAAATCTAGAACCTGATTTTTTCACCTTTCTCTTCCCTTGTTTCCACAAGACTTTGGTGTCTTTCCTGTCCTTTCCCTTTGTGCACTCCCTACAAGTTTCCTCCTTCCTCTTGCTATAGGGTCAATCCCATGCTTGGATCTACAGCTAATCTCTCACCAACTCTGGTGCAAAAGGCAGACTGCAACTAGAAATCCAGAGGGCTTGGAGCAGAGAAACCTAAAGAAGCATTATCCTTTCTACCCCTTAACTTCCTCAAAGCCTGAAGCCAAGGAAGGATGAATCAAGGCTCCAGACTCCCCAGGCAATAGACTGGGAAGGAGACCTGCCTCCAGGACTGTAGTATCAACTTCAAGAGAACTCTGTGCAGCCCTGAGTCTCCACTGGACTGCCTCTCCATACCCCACCCCAGTATAAACTGAACTTTCACCAATTGGCTCAAGTATGGTTTTGTCACTGTTGGGCAAGAAGGGAAAGTTGGAGGAAACTTCAGTAGTCAGGTGGGACGGGGAGTTGGTAAGAAGAGTTACATGATCTCAGACCTCCTGAAGTTTGCTTGAACAGTTGTGGTTTACATCTGTATTTATGTATTTACTTCGGGTTTTTGCCATAAGGTGTGTGTCCTCACCAGAGATAGAAAGTGAGAAATCACCCCCAAGCGGGGGATGGCCATGCTGCAGTCCCTTCCCCTCCATTCTCAGGATTTGCGGCATATATGCACACACGTGCCCACGATTTTCAAACCACCAGTCTGAGACTCAAACTGGTCAGTCATGTGGGAGTCTGGTGCTTGCTGGCCCCTGGGTGTGTGTGTGCTTGGTTTTTATTTTGTTTGTTTGTTTTAATTTGCCAGAGGGCACATATGCTCCCCAGAGACAGACAAGACAGTGAGAACCCCCCAGGCTTGGTCATCCCACAATCCCTCCTCCCTTTTTACATCTCTTTTGGATGTTGGGCACCCACACACATGCACATGCATGTTTCAAGCCCCAGGTCCAAGACTTTAGCCACAGTTAGCCATGCGGGACCCCGCTCTCTTAATCACCAGGCCAGACTAGTCCCCAGGAAAGTTAATCAATAGTACCCTCTTTGGGACCAGCAGTTAACGTAATGGCTATGTTGCTGGACTCCCATGTAGTTGAGCACGGTTCAAGTCCTGGACCCGGTGGCTTAAACTCATGCCAGGTATGTGTGCGTACATGCCCAAGATCCCGAGAGGAGAATGGAGGAGAGGGGATTGCAGTGTGGCCATCCCCCCTGGGGGGTGATTTCTCGCTTTTTGTCTCTCTGTCTCTGTCTTTCTGGTGAGCGCACGTGCCCTATAGCAAAAACCTTCCCCCCCCCCACCCAGAAATAGTATCCTCTTTAAGAGTCCCAGTGTGTCCCAGTTTAGATGTCCAATTAGAGTGAAGTAGTGTACAGAGAGGCATTAATAGAATTCTGAATTGAAGATTCACTTCCACAATCATTTGCCTTTCATGGTAACCTTACACTTTAACTCAGTGCACCCGTAGATGCAGTCTCTTGGCTGATGCTGAATAAAGCTACTTCCAGGAGGTAGTTACTGGCTGAGTAGCCTCTACTGGAAGAAAAAGGGGCTTGAGGGTAAGGCAAGGGCCAGAATATGTTCAAGGAAAAAGAGAAGTCATACACGGGCTTGTTTCAAAATTAATCAGAAGGAGACAAGAAGCAGAGGTCTAAGAGGGGACAGGGCAGATCAAGATGACAGGCTAGAAATGTTACAGCAGGGATTAAAATGAGTCTGTTAAGATAGTAATGATTCTCCATTTAACATGCTTTATAGAGCATTAGGCACAACAGCACATGCGGTTAGATACAACTGTTTTGAAGATGCTGAAAGAAAATAACTTGATACAGTAAAAAGGAAAGAGTAGACAGAGTGAGCAAAACCAAGATCTTGTGGCCAAGGATTTTGGTGGACAGATGGTGAAGAAACTGTGAACTCACAGGATAAGACCACAGTATGCCTCAACAAGACATTAGTGTGGTGGTTCATATCCCTCTTTTATATAGATATAAATTTCCACGTACTATGGCCAGAGTCCCAAGAGCATTTCAGTCACTCTGACACCCCAAAGCCAGTCCTCTATTAAACCCAGAGCTCCCCAGGCTAGTGCTGTTTTCATCTCGCACATCTTGGACACACTCTCTTGCTGTCTGGAAGGTGGGGTGGGCTCTCAGCCCTCAGGTCCAGTCTGAGGAGCGGCAGGAGCAGGAGGGCTGGGATCCTCCAGCTGCACATCATGCAGGTGTACTGTAGGAGTGGTGGGGTCCTTGCCTACTCCCTGGTTTGGGTCAGTTTGGTCAGGGTGATGCCTGCGCACGTGCTTGACCACCTGGAATTTCTGCTTGGCCTTGTAGCTACAGAGGCGGCAGAAGAAGGGGTGGCGGTCAGTGTGGGTGAGGGCATGATGGCGTAGGCCAGCAGCCCAGCGGAAAGCACGGTGGCATACATTGCACACGTAGGGTTTGGCCTCGCTGTGCTTGCGGAGGTGGGTGCGTAGCAGGAAGCGTGTCTTGAAAGCCTTGCCGCACTGCTCACACATAAAGGCCCGAGCTTCACGGTGCCGTGTCTCCCGGTGCACACGCAGTGCATCAGCCCGGTTGGTGCAGTACTCACATTCCGGACACTGGTATGGCTTCAGTCCTATAGGACAAGGAGTAAATCACCATTGAAGCGGGTAGAGCAAGGCTTCACAGATACGAGTGATCCAGGATATAAGAGCACAACTTATATCCCGGATATAAGAGCAAGCTGACTAACGACCATATCTTCGGAATCTTTCAGAACTGCCTGACACTTCTGTGCCCTTCTCCCAACACAGCCCCTTTTATATGTGGGTGCCCAGTGGATACTGATGACAAACTGGACCTCTAACTAACCAGTCACCTGACAGTAATGAATACTCAAATATGATGAGGTTTTTTCCAAATGTGAAACCAGGAGGTACTCAAGGAATCTGAGAATCCATTTAAACAAAATTTGTTCATCTTTAAAAATAAAATGGTAGGGCCAGCAGGTGGCATGGTGGTTAAAGATGCTGGACTCCCACATGGCCTACCACAGTTCAAGTCCCAGACCTGGCAGCTTGCTTTCTCACTTTTACTCTCCCTTTCTGGTCAAATTAAAATTAAAATAAAATGAAATAAGATGACTTGGGACTAGCAGATGGCATAATGATTACGTTGCATGTTGCCGTACTCCCCTGTAGTTGACTACGGTTTGAGTTCTGGACCCAGTGGCTTAAAACTCACGCCAGGCATGTGCGTGTGCATGCCCAAAATACTGGGAAGAGAATGGAAAAGAAGGGATTGTGGTATGACCATTCTCCCTGAGGGGGGTGATTTCTTGCTTTCTGTCTCTCTGGCAAGCACATGCACCCTATAGCAAGGATGTCTCTTAAAAACAAACAAACAAAAAAAAAGGGCTAGCAGGTGACATGGTGGTTGGGACCAGCAGTTAGCATAATAGCTATGTCACTGGACTCCCCTGTAGTTGACCGCAGTTCAAATCCCAGACCCCATGGCTTAAACTCACGCAGGGCATGTGTGCATGCGTGTCCAAGATCCCAAGAAGAGAATGGAGAAGGGATTGCGGTGGGGCCATCCACCCTGGGGGATGATTCTAGCTTTCTGTCTCTGTCTTTCTGGTGAGTGCATGCGCCCTATAGGAAGAACCTCTCAAAACAAAACAAAACAAAACCTCATGCCAGGCGCATGTGCGTGCATGTCCTGAGAGGAGAATGGAGAGGGACTGCAGTGTGGCATCCCCCCTGGGGGGATGATTTCTCACTTTCTGTCTCTTTGTCTCTCTCTGTCTTTCTGGCGAGTGTGCGCGCCCTATAGCAAAAACCTCTCCAAAAAAAAAAAAAAGAAAAAAAAGAAGACATGGTGGTTAAGGGCACTAGACTCCCACATGGCTGACTGCAGTTTGAGTCTCGGACCTGGCAGCTTGCTTTCTCACTTTCAATCTCTCTCTGTCCCTCTGTGGTCAAATTAAAATAAATAAATTAAAAAATAAAATAAAGTAATAATAATAAATACAATGGCTTAAAAGGGAACAGGCAGAGGTCAAAGAAGGTGTTCACAGGAGTAGAGGGTCTTGAAATATACCTTACTGATATCTCTACATATGGGGGACCACACACAATAATCAGAGGTGCCGATCATTAACACTTGTTCTTTTTTTTTCTTTTTTTAAAGAACTATTTTATTTAACTTCATTTTAAAAATTATTTAGTCATTTAAACTTGACCAGAGAGGGACAGAGTGAGAGAGAGGGAAAGTGAGAAAGCAAGTGGAAAGTGAGAAAGCAAGCTGTCAGGTCCGGGACTTGAACTGTGGTCGCCCTTGTGGCAGTCCAGCTCCATTAACCACCATGCCACCTGCCAATCCCAGTACTTTTATTTTTTTAAAGAATTATTTTATTAAACTTTATTTATTTATTTACTTATTTTTTAAATTTGACCAGAGAGGGGCAGAGAGCGTGAGCCAGAGAGGGAAAGTGAGAAAGCAAGCCACCAGGTCTGGGATTCAAACTGCAGTCACCCATGTGGGAGTCGAGAATGCCCTTAACCGCCATGCCACCTGCTGGACCCTAACACTTTTCTTTCTTTCTTTTTTTTTTTTTAAGAGCTGTTTATTTAATTTTATTTAATCATCATTATTTTAAAATTTGCTATAGGACATGTGCACTCATCAGAGACAAAAGGAAAGCGAAAAACCATCCAGGTCTAGGACTCAAACCAGGGTCAGCCATCTGGAAGTCCAGTGTCCTAACCAATACGCCACCTGCTGACCCCATTGATACTTTTTTTTTTTTTTTTTTTAAGAATTATTTATTTGGGACCAGCAGGTGGCATGGTGGTTAAGGCGCTGGACACTCCCACATGGCCGACCAGGGTTTGAGTCCTGAATCTGGTGGCTTGCTTTCTCACTTCCCCTCTCTCTCAACTCTCACCCTCTGTCTCTCTCTGGTCAAATTAAAAAAAAAAAAAAGAATAAATAAAATAAAAAATTATTAAAAAAAGAGAATGATTTATTTAATTTTATTTATTTAATCAATCATTTTCATTTGACCAGAGAAAAACAGACACACAAAGAGAAGGGAAAAGTAAGAAAGCAAGTCACCAGATCTGGGATCCGAACCGTGGTTGGTCATGTGGGAGTGTCCAGCACCTCAACCACCTTGCCACCCACCAGGCCCATTAATACTTTTAAACTAGCTTGTGGATCCCACATACAGGGAAGAAAATGATGTATTAGTACAGAGGAACACTCCGCTTTCTTCTTACTTAATATTAATTCCAGCATATCCATATAGGAACCAGATAGACCTGCACTCAGGTCACTTAGGTATGAACTGGAAGTTTTCAATGGATGTGTGATCTTACACCACAACCACCTGCAAGTGTTTGCAAAGTACATATGCCCAGGGTCTCAGGTTTACCCCTCTTCGGATTCTGATAGGTCTTCAGTAGGTTAGAGAGCCATTCTCATGCATAGTCCCCTAGTCAACTCTCTACCCTCATGTGAAAATTGATGCTGGCCCAAATCTAAACAAGGACATACATCACTTTATGAGGTTAGCTTTGCCAGAGAACAGGGGAATCCTTTAGGCCTGTCAGACTCAGGACCAGTAGATGGTATAATGGTTATGTTGCTGGACTCCCACGTAATCAACTGCGGTTTGAGTACCAGACCTGGAGACTTAAAACTCACACTGGGCACATATGCAGGCGTGCCCAAAATCCCAAGAGGAGAATGTTGGATAATGGAGGAAAGGGATTGTGGTGTGGCCATACCCCCGGAGGGTGAGTTTTTGTTGTCTCTCTGGTGAGCACATATGTCCTATAGCAAAAATCTCTCTCAAAAACAAAAAAATACAGACTCACCTGTGTGCTTGGTCATGTGGTACTTGAGCTGGTTGACCCACTTGCACTTGTAGCCACACTCAGGACACAGGTACTTCCGTTCCTCCTTGTGGATCCGCATATGGTACTAGACGAAGAGCAAAGAAAATATGTGCCCCTTAATACTCAATGGTGTGGAAATAGGGAGAACTAGGTAGAGAAACTGTTGGAAGATAATTCTATTCCTCAGGTGGTCTCTCCTTAGGCCTGCCCTATCTCAGCTCTGCCACTTACTGGCTATGTCCTTGGATGATACAATCTCACTCTCGGTTTACATAGGTATCCGTATCTCATATTTATTTTTTTAGACATTTTTGCCTTAGGGCATGTGTGCTCACTGGAAACGACAGAGACAGAGAGGGAAAGTGAGAAATCACCCTCCCAGGGGGGATGGCCATGCCGCAATCCCTTCTCCATTCTTCTCTCGGGATCTTGGCAATGCATGTACATGTGCCCAGTGTGAGTTTCAAGTCACTGGGTCAGACGAACTTCGGTTGGCCGTGTGGGAATCTACGGACATAACTGCTACGCCATCTGCTGGCCTCCTATCTCATGTTTCAGAAAGGATTAATAAAGTGTTGGGGAACCAGCAGATGGCGTAATGGTTACAATGCTGGACTCCTACGTAGTCAACCGTGTTTGAGTCCCAGACCTGGTTAAATTTAAACTCACGCTGAGCATGTGTGCCCAAAGTCCTGAGAGAAGAATGGAGAAGGGACTGTGGCATGGACATCCCCCAAGGGGGTGATTTCTCACTTTCTGTCTGTCTCTGTCTCTCTGGCAAATGCGTGTGCCCTATAGCAAAAATCACTTTAAAAAATAAGTGTGTGGGAGATGTGATAAGTGCTCAATACAAGTTAGCTGTGGGAAGTCGGTGCTGTGCCGCTCAGGGCAGGCTGCATCCCACTTGGTCACTACGTTGTGAATCTCCAGCCCAGGCATCTGGAACACGTGAACATGCACGAGTGCCCAAGATCTGATGAGCTGGAGGAATGGAGAAAGGAGATCATGGTGTGATCAGAATCCATGGAGGATCTCACTCGTGTGTGTGTGCACTGCTTCATGAATTAAGAAAAAACAGACCACTATCCAGATTATCCCCAACCTATTATGTGTTTTTTTAAAAAAACAAAATTATTTTATTTAACTTTATTTATTATTTTCCAGTTTGATCACAGAGAGACAGACAGAGAGAGGGAGGGAGGGAGGGAGGGAAAAAGAGAGAAAGTGAAAGAGCAAGCCATCAGGTCAAGGACTTGAACCATGGTTGGCCATGTGAGTCCAGTGCCTTTAACCACCATGCCACCTGCCAGCCCCGTTATATGCTTTATTTATTTATTTAAATTCTTTATTTTATTTAACTTTATTTTTTTTTATTTGACGAGAGAGAAACAAAAGAGAGAAGGTGAGAAAGCAAGCCGCCAGGTCCAATACTGCAGTCGGCCATGTAGAAGTCCAGCACCCTCGACCACCATGCCACCTGCCGGCCCTATTATATGCTTTCACTACATGACAAACATGTATGAGATTATACCTTAACCACCACCTTAAGAAGCTGGTCTTACCCACTTTTTAAAGGTGATGAATCTGAGGCTCAGAAAAGTTAAGGAACTTGCCTAAGGTCACAGAGTATTATTTGGAAGAGTCAGGATTAGAGGACCCAGGCAGTTTAACTCCAGAGCTCCTACCCCATTGCCCTTGACCTTACCTTGAGGCGAGAGGGGTCGGCACAGGCGTAAGGGCAGAGGTGACAGCGGTAAGGCTTTTCCCCAGTGTGAATGCGGCTGTGCCAGGTGATCTTCTGTCGGTTCTTGGTGCTATAAGCACAGTCAGTGCACTTGTAGAGTCGGGTGCCCCCATGCCCTTTCATATGGTGATCTAGCACCAGCTGATGGTGGCATGCAAAGTCACAAAAGGGACAGTGCAGAGGGGGCTGGCCAGCGTCCCTTTCTGAGGCTGCTGCTGCTGCTGAAGCTTGCTCATGCTGTTCCAGGTAGTGCTTCACCAGGCCAACCCGCTCTCGAGCAGCAAAGTCACAGAGCTGGCAGCGGTGGCTGAAATGCTGCTGTCTCCGGTGCTCATCCAGTGCTGGCCGGCTAGGGAAGGCCTCCTGGCAGGACCCGCACTCGAGCCGTGGGTGCTGTTTACGGGTGTGTCCTCGCAGGCTGGCAGGGCTGGGGCACAGCAAACCACAGCGGGAGCAATGCAAGGAGCCCTCAGTGGCCTCTGCAGGAGAGCCAGGGGCAGGGGGTGTGGGCTCGGGGTGCCGGCGCAGAGCATGCTGCTTAAGTGCTGTCTCTGAGCTGAACTGAGCCTCACACTGAGAACAGGCAAAAGCTGGGGTGCCCTGGTGGCAGCTGTTGACATGGCGAGTAATGTCGTGGCGAAGGTAGCCACTATAGTCACAGAGTGGACAGAAGTGGGTAGGTGTTTTTTCATGTACCCTCAGCCGGTGCAAGCGCAGTTTTGAGTTGGTGCCAAAGGTCTGGGGGCAGGAGCTACAGGGGATGCGGCCAACACCAGTATGTCGAGACTGGTGAGCCTCTAACCGGTACCGTCTGGTGGTGGAAAAGTCACAGAAAGGGCACTGATGTGGCTTCCCCCCTTCATGCTTCAGCCGCTGATGCTGCTGCAGGCACCGGCTCTGCTTACAGGTGAAACCACAGTCCCCGCACTGCAGAGGGGGCCGGGGGCCACGGGCTGGGGTTGCAGTGGGGTGTCTCCGCTTCTGGTGGAGCCTCAGGGCGGCAGCGGCAGGAGCAGTGAATGGGCAGAGGCCACAGTGCAGCTTTCCAGACTCAAGGGGACAGCCCCGGGTCTGGTGAGTCCTCAGAGCCCGTTCCTGCTGGCAGCTAAAGGGACACGTGGGGCAGGAGAAGCGAGCGCCCTTCTGTTTTTGAACCAGGGCTGTGTCTCCCTCACCTTGGCTGGACTCTGCAGTCCCACTGTTCAGGGGAGCAGAGTTCCCATTGCTCAAGGGGGACACAACAGGTTGGGTGTGGGGGGTCCCTCGCTTTCCTCCCCCGCCACGTCCCCCCCTGCAGCCTTCAGCCACATGAGAGGTAATAGAGGAGAGCCGAGAACAAAGGAATGTGCATGAGTTGCAGTGAAACTTGCCTTGTTCAAAGTGGAACTTCTCAGGGGTCTCTGCAGGAGAGGAGTCCGCTGTAGGGGGGACAGGGGGGCCAGAGTGTGTGGCAAAAGGCTCATCTATTTCTTCAGGCTCCCTGGGATGCTCAGAAGGAAGAGTTTTTGGAAGCAGCAGCTCTACATCTAATGGTGCAGGTGGGGGCTTCCCACCTTCTGCATCCTCTGAGTCCTGGGCGCCTGGGAGCAGGGGAGGCGGAGGGCCAGGAGAATCTGGTCTAAGCAAGCCCTTGTTCTTTCTGAGAAGAACCGGGCACTTTTTTAGAAGATGGGTGCTGAGGCCACGTTGTTGCTTGAAGCTAGCCCCACACTCAGGGCACAGCAGGGGTTCTCGGCGGCCCTGGCACCCAGTCCTGGAGTGCAGGTTCAAGGCCTTCTCCCGGCGAGTGATGAAAGGGCAGTGTGGGCAGCGGAAGGCGCGCCCCTCCCCCTGGATCACCACCATCTGCACCCGCCCCTCCAGCACCAAAGCCTCTGCTTGTTCTTTGTCTTGCCTCCTTAGAGCCTTGAGTAATGACTCTGACTCAGGGAACTGGGGCACTGGTGCTATCTCCACAGGTGGGGTTGTCTTGAAAGTCCCCACCCAGTTGTTCGGGGCCTCCTCTGAGGGTGGTGGATTTCTCTTCTGAGGAGGGAGGTTCTCCTCCCAGGTGTTAGGGCCCTCATCTGAGGACGGAGGGGGCTCATGGACTGGTTTCTCCAGAACGGACTCTTCAGCACCCAAGCCAGAAGTTCCAACGCCGTCAAAGCTCGGCAGTGTTGGCCCTTCCAGGTCCAGGGGCCCTGAGGGATCCAGGGTCTTGAACTCCACAGGGGCAGTTTCAGTGATCTCCTCAAGGGATGTCTCGGCCGCAGATTCTAGCTCTACTCCTAGGGCCTCTAAGTGTAGTGTGCAGCCACCTTCCTCCTCCTCTGCTGGGCTGGGGCTGCCAACCAGGTCATCCCCATGGGGAGCTTCACTGCCATCCTGTCTCCCAGTGCTGACCTCTTCACTTGTCTCTGGCAAGGTCTGGTCCAAGTTGGGGGCCACCATGGTCTCAGGGTCGTGGCCTGGCTCCTCAGGAGGGGAGGACAACTGACTTGAGGGCTCTGAGCCTTGTGGGGGTGTTGGGCACTGCCTGACACCCTCTGGCTCCTGACTGGCATAGCGGAGCTGCCAGACCTGGTCTCCGGGCACATAACCGTGGACCTTACGCTTGTGGAAGAAGAGGGTGGTGTTGCTGAAGGTGCGGTAGTCACAGAGGGCACAGTGGAACTCCCGGAGGCGGGTATGCTTGCAGTTCTCATGGCTCAGCAGGGCTTGCTTGTGGCGGCTCTGATAGCTGCAGTAGTGGCAGGGGTAGAGCGGGGCCGGTGTGCCAGAGTGGTGCTGGGACGCCATGTGCTTCTGTAGCTCATACTTCCGCTTGCAGGCAAAGGCACACACCTCACACATCAGGGATTTGCCCTGGTGCCGCAGTTTGTGGCTGCTCAGCTGATCAGCCCGATGACAGCGATAGGAGCACTGGTTGCACTGGTATCTGCAGGAAGGGCAAAGGAGAGGCCATTACAACAGTAGGTCAGTCACGATGACAAAGTCACTGAATAAATACTACGGTCCAGGCTCTACACGCGATTGTGAATGAATCATCTAATCTAACTCTCCTTTCCACTGCCCTGGGAAACAGGATCCCTGTTTCATAAGGGAGGGTAGTAAGGTCCTGACGTTAATAACTTGCCTAAGGTTGGTTACAAAGGAAGTGAGAGGCACAGACAGCCTCACTCTGGCCTGTGTCCTAACTTCTACTCTATACTGTTTCCTAAAAGAAAGTAATCGTGAATCACCACAACCCACTGTGACCTTTAAAAAAAAAAAAAAAAATTTAACTTTATTTACATATATATTTTTAATTTGACCAGAGATGGACAGAGTGAGAGAGAGAGAGAGAGAGAAGAAAAGTGAGAAAGCAAGCTGCCAGGCTGGAGACTAGAACCATGGTCAGCCACGTGGGAGTCCAGCACCCTTAACCACCATGCCACCTGTCAGCCCCTACCCACTGTGAACTTATAAGCAGCTGCTATGGCTACAGCCCCAGAGGACAGGTTTCTGAGCCTCATTCCCATTCTCCCATGGAGGTGTGAAAGAGAAAGAAACAACCCCCCCAGCTGTGCCCAAAGGTCAGAGGAGAACCTGCCTGGATTTGGAAGTGACTAGCAGGGTCTTAGGGTAGAGTCTATCCAGTTTCCCAGAACCGAACTCTGAGAACTCAAATGATACCTGACTGTCTAGGTCTGTATTCCCTTCTCTGGGTGCAAAGAACGCTTATTATGTGGACTGGGCCACAGGCAAGAAGCCAGCCGTAGGCAAGGGAGCAGAGATGGCAGGAACACAGAAGGGTGTCAGGAGATGTTCCAGGAATTGCAGAAAGCAACAGGGCCAGAAGCTGGGTCCAGGATGAGAGTAGCTTGGCTTAAGATACTGGGGACAGAAATGGAGGCAAGGGTGTGTTCGTACCTGAGGTCCCCTGCGTGCTTTCGCATGTGCACACTGAGGTAGTGCTTCCACTTGGTGACATAGCCACATTCAGTGCACATGTAATCCTTGGTGTTAGAATGCGTCAGCATGTGCTTGGATAGATAGCTCACATCTCGGCACGTGAAGTCACATAGCTCACATTTATGAGGTTTCTCGCCTTACGTGGGGGATAGGATGAGAAGGGAGAAAATACGGGTCAGATGCAGATTGAGCGAGTAGATTCCATTTTCCCTCAGCAAGCTCATCCCGATGCCAGACAGGAGCAAAATCTTCATCAAAATCAAAGCTGTTTCATAGACCACCCAGACAACTGCTTCCTTGACTGCCCTGGGGCCGCAGTTTGTGGCTGCTCAGCTGATCAGCCCGATGACAGCGATAGGAGCACTGGTTGCACTGGTATCTGCAGGAAGGGCAAAGGAGAGGCCATTACAACAGTAGGTCAGTCACGATGACAAAGTCACTGAATAAATACTACGGTCCAGGCTCTACACGCGATTGTGAATGAATCATCTAATCTAACTCTCCTTTCCACTGCCCTGGGAAACAGGATCCCTGTTTCATAAGGGAGGGTAGTAAGGTCCTGACGTTAATAACTTGCCTAAGGTTGGTTACAAAGGAAGTGAGAGGCACAGACAGCCTCACTCTGGCCTGTGTCCTAACTTCTACTCTATACTGTTTCCTAAAAGAAAGTAATCGTGAATCACCACAACCCACTGTGACCTTTAAAAAAAAAAAAAAAAATTTAACTTTATTTACATATATATTTTTAATTTGACCAGAGATGGACAGAGTGAGAGAGAGAGAGAGAGAGAAGAAAAGTGAGAAAGCAAGCTGCCAGGCTGGAGACTAGAACCATGGTCAGCCACGTGGGAGTCCAGCACCCTTAACCACCATGCCACCTGTCAGCCCCTACCCACTGTGAACTTATAAGCAGCTGCTATGGCTACAGCCCCAGAGGACAGGTTTCTGAGCCTCATTCCCATTCTCCCATGGAGGTGTGAAAGAGAAAGAAACAACCCCCCCAGCTGTGCCCAAAGGTCAGAGGAGAACCTGCCTGGATTTGGAAGTGACTAGCAGGGTCTTAGGGTAGAGTCTATCCAGTTTCCCAGAACCGAACTCTGAGAACTCAAATGATACCTGACTGTCTAGGTCTGTATTCCCTTCTCTGGGTGCAAAGAACGCTTATTATGTGGACTGGGCCACAGGCAAGAAGCCAGCCGTAGGCAAGGGAGCAGAGATGGCAGGAACACAGAAGGGTGTCAGGAGATGTTCCAGGAATTGCAGAAAGCAACAGGGCCAGAAGCTGGGTCCAGGATGAGAGTAGCTTGGCTTAAGATACTGGGGACAGAAATGGAGGCAAGGGTGTGTTCGTACCTGAGGTCCCCTGCGTGCTTTCGCATGTGCACACTGAGGTAGTGCTTCCACTTGGTGACATAGCCACATTCAGTGCACATGTAATCCTTGGTGTTAGAATGCGTCAGCATGTGCTTGGATAGATAGCTCACATCTCGGCACGTGAAGTCACATAGCTCACATTTATGAGGTTTCTCGCCTTACGTGGGGGATAGGATGAGAAGGGAGAAAATACGGGTCAGATGCAGATTGAGCGAGTAGATTCCATTTTCCCTCAGCAAGCTCATCCCGATGCCAGACAGGAGCAAAATCTTCATCAAAATCAAAGCTGTTTCATAGACCACCCAGACAACTGCTTCCTTGACTCCCAGGCTAATACAAATGGGAAGAAAGTAAAATCTGTGGTTTTCAAAATGAGGCTTAGAGTCCACTCTCAACTTGTTATACAGCTTGTTGGTACTAATGGCCAAGTGTTCCACTTAGCCTAATTTTAATTTTCTGGAACAGAAAGAGATTAGGCAATTGAACATAGAGGCAAAACGGGAGCCGTTAAGACCTTTGACTCTAGGGAAGCCAGCAGGTGGCGTGGTGGTTGAGGGTGCTGGACTCTCACATGGCCAACTGTGGTTTGAGTCCCAGACCTGGCGGCTTGCTTTCTCATTTTCTCTCACTCTGTCCCTCTCTGGTCAAATGAAAATAAATAAGTAAGTAAAGCTAAATAAAATAATTATTAGAAAAAAAGAACTCTGACTCTAGAGTCCAAGATAGTAATAAAAGTATTAACAGCCAACATTTATACAGTGCTGGGGCTGGCAGGTGGCGTGGTGGTTAGAAACATTAGGCTCCTCCTACATAGCCAACTGCAGTTTGAGTCCTTAACCCGGCGGCTTGCTTTCTTGCTTTTCCTCTCTCTCTCACTCTGTCCCCCTCTGGTCAAATTAAAATAAATAAATGGATAAAAATAAATGAAGTTCAATAAAATATTTTTTTTTTTTGAGAGGTTTTGGCTATAGGACGCGTGTGCTCGCCAGAAAGATAGAGACAGAGAGACAGAAAGTGAGAACCCTCCTCCCAGGGAGGATGGCCATGCCGCAATCCCTTCTCCTCCATTCTCCTCTTGGGATCTTGGGTACATATGCACATGTGTCTGGTGTGAGTTTAAGCCACTGGGTCCAGGACTCAAACCATAGTCAACTACATGGGAGTCTAGTGACATAGCTATTACGCTAACTGCTGGTCCCCAATAAAAAAATTCTCAAAAAGAAAACCACTTATACAGTGCTCACTATGTGCCAGACACCTTTTTTATTTTTAAAGAGATTTTGTTTTGGAGAGCTTTATGCTGTAAGGCATGTGTGTTCGCCAGAAAGACAGAGAGAGAGAGACAGAAAGTGAGAAATCACTCCTCCCCCAGGGAATGGCCACGCCGCAATCCCTTCTCCACTCTCTTCTTAGAATCTTGGGCATATGCACACATGCACCCGGCGTGAGTTTTAAGCCACTAGGTCTGGGACTCAAACTGCGGCCGACTACATGGGAGTCCAGCGACATAGCCATTACATCAACTGCTGGCCTTATTTAACGAGATTTTTTGCTATAGGATGTGTGCACTTGCCAGATAGACAGAAAGCGAGAAATTCCCACGGGGGGCGGGGGGGATGACCACCCCACAATCCCTTCTCCTCCAATCTCCTCTTGGGATTTTGGGCATGAATACACAAGTGCCCACTATGTTTTTATTTTTTGGAGAGGTTTTTGCCACAGGGTGCGTGCGCTCGCCAGACAGAGAGAGAGAGACAGAGAGACAGAAAGTGAGAAATCACCCCCAGGGAGGATGGCCACGCCACAATCCCTTCTCCTCCGTTCTCCTCTCAGGATCTTGGGCATGCACGCACACATGCCCAGCATGAGTTTTAAGCCACTGGGTCCAGGATGTGAACCGCGGTCCACTACATGGGAGTCCAGCGACATAGCCATTACACTAACTGCTGGTCCCTATTTTTTTTTTTTAAAGAGTGAATTTTGCTATAGGACGTGTGTGCTCCCCAGAGAGACAGAAGTGAGAAATCCCCCTGTCCCCCAGGAGGGATGGCCACACTGCAATCCCTTCTTCTCTTCTCTTGGGATCTTGGGCATGCACGCACACACACTTGGCATGAGTTTTAAGCCACCAGGTCTGAGATTCAAACTGTGGTCAACTATGTGAGCGTCCAGCAATATAACCATTATGCCATCTGCTGGTCCCATGCCAGGCACCTTTCTGAACGCATATAAACATGCCTCCTTTCAGGGCAAGCAGGTGGTACGGTGGTTAAGGTGCTGGACTCCTACATGGCTCACCACAGTTCAAGCCCCGGACCTGGCAGCTTGCTTTTTCTCTTTCCTTCTCTCCCCCTGTCTCTCTTGGATTCAAAAAAAAAAAAAAAAAAAAAACCCAACATAATAATGGGACTAGTACATAGTGTAGCAGTTACATCCCTGGACTCCTACATGGTCAACCGTGGTTTGAGTCCTGAACCTGGTAGCTTCAAACTCAATGCTGAGCACGTGTGTGTACATGACCAAGATCTCAGGAGGAGAATGGAGAAGGGACTGCAGCATGGCCATCCCCCCTGGGGGGGGTGATTTCTCACTTTGTCTCTCTGTACCCTACAGCAAAAATCTCCCCCCAAATAATGGTGAATAAAATAAATAATTCTTTTAAAAAAGAATTTAACTTTGTTATTATTATTTCATTTACTTCTTCTTCTTATTTTTAATCTAACCAGTGATACAGAGAAAAAGGGAAAGTGAGAAAGTAAGCTGCCAGGTCTGGGACCTGAACTGTGGTCGGCCATGTGGAAGTGTAGCACCTTAACCATCATGCCACTGCTGGCCCTAAGATAATTCTAAAAAAAAAAAAAAAAAAGCCTCAGGAAAAAAAAAATGAAAGCTTTTTCTTGCTAAATCTTCACTACATCCCTATGAGGCAGATGTTATTCCCTCCCCCATTTTATAGATGAGGAAACTGAGGCTCAGAGAAATCACAGAGCTGTCAAATGGAGGTTCAAATCCACTTCCTACCAGGTGGCTTTGGACAATCTCAAGTCTCCTTGTCTCCAAAAAGGAAGCAACAAAAATGCTGGCCTCACACGGTATGCACAGTAAATGAGATGTCCCAAAATCGGCAGCAGTGCCCTGTGAGAACTCAAGGACATGCTGTCTACATAGCTGGTCAAGGCCGGGCACTAAGGCTGGGAGCCAGGTTCCTTCCAGTCTCCTGTTATCCCCGCCTGATCACCCAGCCCCCTTCCCTATGGTAAAGGCAAACAACATGACATTCTGGTTCTGACGAGCTGTGTATTCTCAGAGTAGGTCTAAGTTTAAATCCACACAATTTGTCTCTTGTCTTCACCAGCCTGCCTATAGGATTGTCATTATGGATTAAATGGGATAATACAGATGAAGGAACTCTGGAAAATGTAAAGGCTTTAGGAAAGGGCTCAGAAACACAAGTGTTTATGACTAAAGCATGTATAGAAATGAGCTTTTTATTTAGAAAATTATTTCATTTAACCTTTTTATTTATCTATTTACTTATTTTGATTTGACCAGAGAGGTACAAAGGGAGTGCGAGAGTGAGAAAGAGAGAGAGAAAGTGAGAAAGTAAGCTGCCAGGTCTGGGACTTGAACCATAGTCGGCCATGAGAGAGATAGAGAAAGAGGAAACGTGAGAAAGTATCTCCCTCAAAGGGGAATGGCCATGCAGCAAAACCCTGTTTTCTATTTCTCACTTTCAGGATTTTGCACATGCATGCACACATGTCCAACATGTTTCTCAAGCCACTGGGTTCAGAACTTGAACTGCACAGTAAGCTATGTGAGATCCAGGCACTTTAAAAAAAAAAGAAGAATTAATTTTATTTATTATTATTATTTTTTTAATTTGCTATAGGGGACGTGTGAGAAAGAGAGAGAAAGTGAGAAAGTAAGCTGCCAAGTACAGGACTCACACGGGACTCAAACCAGTCGGCCATGTGGGAGTCCAGCATCTTAACCACCACGCCTTCTGCTGGCCTTGAGCTCCAGCCACTTTAATCACCATACCATGTGCTGGCCCAATACCTTTTTTTTTAAAGTGTCAGTTTTTCCTGTCAATCCACTGACGCCTATACAGAGATCACAAATGGTGTGATACTATAATAGGAAGCCTGATCCGGTTGTCACATAAAGCATTAGTAATGCTGGTAACCAAGTAAGAGTAAGTTGAGGGGCCAGCAGATGGTGTAACAGTTATATCACTGGACTCCCATGTAGTCGACAAGTTTGAGTCCTGGACCCAGCAGCCTGAAACTCACACCGGTGTGTGTGCGTGCCCAAAATCCTGAGAGGAAAATGAAGGAATAGGGATTGCAGCATAGCCATCCCCCCCCCAAGGCGCTGCTGGTGGTGATTTGCTTTGTGTCTCTGTCTCTCCAGTGAGCATATGTGCCCTACAGCAAAAATCTCTCCTAAAAAAAGAGCCAGAAACATCTGCAGTCCCCAGGTCACTGCAGGCGACTGTTTTGGTGTCCTGAATGCCCACGCCATGGGAAGCCATAACAAGTATAGATGGCTCAGTCCCCTCACTTGTCTCTCACAGCACAGGCAGGTACCTCTCCAGTCTAGTCTCTTCACTCCACTGGGCTGGGTGTGACCCATTCAAGCCTGACTGGGGTTGGGGAGAACTGAACAGGGGCTTAAGGTAAGGCATAGTATCATAATGGTTAGAGCACAGGCTATGGGATCAGACTGCTTAGACACAGATCCTAGCTAGACCACTTTACTTGCTGAACGTCACTCAACCTAAGGCTCATTTATAAACTCAGAAGATTAGACCAACCTCTAGGAGTTCTGGGTGGAATAAGGCATGCTGAAATGAGGCATGTATGCAAGGCCCTGCCTATGGTGTACGGTACACAGTAAAAACTCATGCGAGCTACGATCACCACCACTGTTACCATGACTATCCTGTTCCTGTCAGGATGGGAGCCACCTCACCCGTATGCAGCAGCATGTGTCGGATGAGCACCCGCTTGTGGGCAGTGGCGAAGCTGCACTCAGGGCACTGGTGGATCTTCTCATGAGCATGCATCTTGCCTACATGGTCCTGGTAGGCCACTGGGTTGAAGGTAGCAAAGGGGCAGAAGGTGCATCGCAGCTCTTCGCTGCCAGGGTGGCCCTGCTTCTTGTGTTTGCGGAATAGATGCTTATTGGAGCAGGCGAAGTCACAGTGGGGGCAGTGGAAGGCATAGTGGCTCTTGTGGTGGGCCTCCATGGCTTCAGCTGTGGCAAAGAGCATGGGACATGAGTGATGGCGGCACTCCACAGCCCGGACCCCATGGGTCTCCTTCAGGTGCTTCACAAAGGCCTTGCGATCGGGCGCTGCATAGCTGCAGCTTTCCTGAAAACAGCGAAAGGGTACGGGCTCCGCTGCTGCTGCTGCTGTGTGGCTCTTGAGGTGCTCCTTGAGGGCCTGGCTGAGGCGGAATTCCTCGTGGCAGACAGGACAGGCATAGGTGTCCGAGTAGAAGTTGGAAATATCCTCATGCATACTGGCCATGTGGCGGTTGAGTGCATTTCGCTCCACTGCACTATAGTGACACAGTGGGCAGCGGTGGGCCTTCTCACCCAGCTCCCGCAGCAGGTGGGTCTTGAGCTTGCTCTTACTGGTGAAGAACTTCTGGCAGTTGGGGCACTGGAGACTGGGGTCTGGGAAGTGGAGATGCAGGTGCTCTACCAGATGGGTCCGCTTCTTAAAGCAACGCTTGCACTCTGGACACATGTGGGTCTTGAAGAGAGACTCAGCACCATTACTTGTGTCCACTGGGGAAAGAGAATGCAGAAAAGTGTGCATTGAGAGCAAGAATTTTCTTTCTTTTTCTTTTATTAAGAAATATTTTATCTGGGGCCAGCAGGTGGCATGGTAGTTAAGGGTGCCGGACTCCCACATGGCTGACCATGGTTCGAGTCCTGGACCTGGCAGCTTCCTCTCTCACTTTCCCTCTCTCTAAGCCTGGTCCTCTCTGGTCAAATTAAAATAAATAAAGTTAAATAATTCTTTTTTTTTTTTTTCTTGCTATATGGCATGTGTACTCGCCAAAAAGACAGAGAGACAGAAAGCAAGAAATCACTTCCCAAGGAGGACGGCCACACCACAATCCCTTCTCCTCCACTCTCCTCTTGGGAACTAGGGCATGCACGCACATGTGCCTGGCATGAGTTTAAGCCACTGGGTCTGGAACTCAAACCGTGGTCAACTACATGAGCAACATAGCTATTATGCCAACTGCTGGTCCCAAGTTAAATAATTCTTAAAGAAAAAAAAAAATTTATTTAACTTTATTTATTCATTTTAATTTGACCAGACAGGAACAGGGCGAGGTGTTGGGGGGGCAGGGTGAGAAACTAAGCCACCAGGTCCGGGACTTGAACTGCAGTTGGCCATGTGGGAGTCCAATGCCCTTAACCACCACGCTACCTGCTGGCCCCCAGAGCAAGACTTTCCAACAGGTCACTGGCTGGCCAGATAACGGGAGAACCACAATTTGCTCAGACACAAACAGTGTGTGGTCTTTCTCTCTAGAAAACCAAACAATAGGATCTCAAACACCAAGAGCTAAGAAACTTAAGTACTAGGAGAAACAAATTCCGTAAGGACTGAGACCTTACTGTGGCTTATCTGAAGTGCTTCGCCAAGGTACCCACTATTAGTGACCTTTTGTCTAGAGCTGCTCATAAGACCAATTTGGGAGGAGCATTCTTTTTAGTCCTGCCCTTGTTCACTGTGGGCAGGTGAAAGGATCAACTGAGCAGGTTTAAAGGGAAGGAGTCTCAAAATAATGAGGCAAAAGGAAGAAGGTAAAGTACTCTACTTCCAAATGCTGGGCTCTAGAGAGCAGAAAGCTGGTAATCCGTACAACCAGACAGTTCCTATTCACCTGACAGTAAATATGCTTCCTGTGAGTGGGTTTTGGACATTCCATTGAGTTGGAAAAATGGGAAGCAAGGATTTAGAAAAAAAATCTCAGGGGGCTCAAGGTCAGACAGACTACTGCATCAGTAACCTTTGGCACCTCTATACCACGATCATCAACCCCTCTTTCCCGGGAAAAGGAAAATCAGCCCAGAAGAGCAAACTCTATCCCCTCTCCTGTGTTTAATTAGAGTCATATCATTTCACCACTTTCCCACTAGATTGACCTTAAAAAAAAAAAAAAAGGAATAAAAAGAATTATATTTAACTTTATTTCTTTATTTTAATTTCACAGAGAAGGACAGAATGAGAGAGAGAGGGAAAGTGAGGAAGCAAGTTGCCAGGTTCGGGACTTGAACCAGTTGGCCATGTGAAAGTCCAATGCCCTTTACTACCATGCTACCTGCCAACCTTGACCATGACCTTTTAAAAATGTTTACTCACTTATTTCTTCCATGAGAGAGACAGACAGAAAGAGATAAGAACCTCCAACAAGGTCTTTATGCCACGATCCACCCCTAGCTTCAGGTAACCTGGATCATAGGCATGGTGTGTGGCTAATATACAGAGGAGGCCTCAGGATATGACCACGTGAGGCTAGCACCGTAGAGTATTGTGTTACTATTGCACTACTGGCCAATCCCTAGTCCTTGACTTTTGAGGCAACGTAGAACAAAAGGATCCATGGGTTAGCTCTGTAGTACAGTGGTTAAGTGCTTTGTGTAGACGGCTGGATGCCACGTGGCCAACCACAGTTCAAGTCCCAGACTCAGTGGCTTGAAGAACACTCTGGGTATGTGAGCATGCCTACCCAGGATCCTGGAAGAAAAGATAAAAGGAGGAAAGGGACTGTGGTGTAATGCGCACTCGTAGTGATTATCCCTCTCTCTCTTTCTGGTGAGTGCACATGTGTCTGGCAATTGGAAAAAAAAAAATCAAAAAAGAACAGAAGAATCTGAACCTAAAGCTCAGAACACCAAGTCCTGGAGCCTTGATGCCAGGCTCTACACAATCCATTCCTCCCAACACCAGGAGCTTCGATCCAAATGTTACCACCTTCTACTTGCAGAGTCCCCTGGCCTTTACCCTGGGCTTTCCGTGAATCTTTCTGGGTGCCACTCTTCTCTTTTTCTTCTATGTCCTCTTCTTCAGCTAGCTCCTGACCAGGCAAGGGTGTGCTTGCATCCTCTGAAGGTTCTCCCTCTCCTGGAGGCAGCTTGGCAACTGGAAACACATAAAACTCAAATGAAGTCTACAGGAGCCAATGACAGTACTGAATGCCTATAGTTCTTCACTTACTGGCTGGAAGACTCATCCTCCTCTCCTTTAGCATAAGAGATTCCTGAGTTCTAAATAAATTTATCCCCACTCAAGACCGGGACGGAAAGACTAAGCTATTGGCAATTCTTCAGACTAAAGTAAATCAAACCACAGACAACACCAGTCTCAGACCCCTCGAAAATAAGAGCTCAAGGTCCCTAGAGTGGGCGTAAGGGACTAACAGGTGGAGAATGGGTAGGCTGCATTTCCTTGGTTAAAGGTCTCCAGGGCTAATGGCTGGTGGCTCAGTGCAGTTGAACACATTGTTATCTGCACTGTTTTGCTAAGAAACCCAACTTAGCAATTCAGGGTCATACCTTGCCCCCTCAAAAATCCAAAGACAGGTGACTAGTTTGCATGTAAAAAAAAAGAAGTCTTCCCTTCAGGTATCAGAACACAAGCTGAATCTTAGCAAGTCAAGTTCTCTCATCAGAACTCTGATCTCTCTTGGCAAGTTTTCTTTATTTCTTCCTGCTCCTCTATTACCTCATGATCTTTTACTGATAACCATCAGTAAAAGCACCATCCCCCTTGAAGATTTCTTTCTTTTTCTTTTTTTTAAGAGAGATTTTTGCTATAGGGTGCGGGCACTCACCAGAGATAGAAAGCAAGAAATCACGCTCCAACCCCTTTCCCTCCATTCTTCTTTTGGGATCATGGGCAGGCACACGTATGTGCCTGGTGTGAGTTATAAGCCGCCAGTTGTTGGACTAGATCCATGGTCAACCACATGGGAGTCTAGCAGTGACATAACCATTATACCATCTGCTGGTTCCCAGGGTTTCTTTTAACCTAACCCTAGCTTCTCCTGCTCAATCTCCAAATCTTACTTTGTTTTTTGAGAGGTTTTTGCTATAGGGTGAGTATGCTTGCCAGAAAGACAGAGAGAGACAGAAATCAAGAAATCATCACCCCCCCAGGGGGATGGCCACGTAGCAATCCCTTCTCCTTCATTCTCCTCTTGGGATCTTGGGCAGGCATGCACACACACCCAGTGGGAGTTTAAGCCACTGGGTCTGGGACGCAAACCGCAGTCGACTACATGGGAGTCCAGCAACATAACCATTACGGTAACTGCTTGTCCCAGGCCTTCCTCTTTGTCCCATGTTTTTTTTTTTTTTTAATTTATTTTAATTTTTTTATTTTTTAAATTTTGGTCAGAGAGGAAGGGAAATGAGAAAGTATCCCACCCCATGGGAAATGGTCACACTCTAATCCCTTCTCTATTTCTTCCTCCTTTTGGGATTTTGGGCACACATGAACACACTCTTGGAATGTCTTCCAAGCCACGATGTCTGGGACTCAAACTGTGTGGTTGGCCATATAGGATCTAGCTGCCTTAACCAGCTAACAGCTGGCCCAGTCCCATGTATTCTTATTGGTTCATGGCATCCAGGTGCCTTCCCATGTCACCTCAGCCTCCATCTAGATTCCTTTGTACACATACACATTCAAGGTACTGGAAACAATCCCCTCTCCTGTAAGACTAACTATAGTTATATTCTTTTTTATTTTTTCCTTTTACTATTTCTTTGTTTTTTTAAAAGCGGTTTTTGCTATAGGGTATGTGTGCTTGCCAGAGAGACAGAGAGGGACAGAAAGTGAGAAATCATCCCTCGGGGGGATGGTCATGCTGCAGTCCCCTCTCCTCCAGTCTCCTCTCGAGATTTTGGGCATCCACATACACACGGGAGTTTCAAGCCACCGGGTCTAGGACTCGAACTATGGTTGGCTAACTGAGAGTCCAGTGACGTAACCATTATGCCATCTGCTGGTCCCCACTGTGGTTACATTCTATTCCATAACAGGTGGGCGACTGCTAGGCCCCGGCCTCATACCTGTCTGCAGCTCCTGGGATGGAAGGCCCTGAAAGGCAGAAAGTTCTCCCTGTGTCCTGGCCCCATGGCTCCGCTGATGCTGCCGGAAGAGTTTGACGTTGGAGCCCATGAAATTGCAATGGCTGCAGTGGAAAGGGTCATGGGCCCGCCGGTGCAGCTCCATGCCCTGCTGACTCCCGAAAAGCAGGGGACAGCCCCGGAAAGAACAGGGCACAGGCACTGCTCTATGGGTCTGCCTCAGGTGGTGCTGTAGACCCTTGCGATCTTCAGCAGAAAACACACAGCCAGACTCTGAGCAGGAGAAGGTGCTGGGAGTGCCTCGATGAATCTTGAAGTGGCTCTTCAGGGCCTGGAGTTGGGCAAACTCCTGTCTACACACAGGGCACAGCAGGGGGGTATCTGGTGGGCTCTGGCCCTGCAGAGGGCCAGGAAGTGTGGGGTTGCTGGGGGGTAGCTCTACAGAGCACGGGGGGCTAGAGAGGCCCTGCACAGACTGTGTCTGGGGCTCAGTGCACTGGTGCAGGGACAGCAGAGTGGGCTCTGCGAAGCTCTGTTCGCAGCGCTCACAGAAGTACACCTCCACCACCTTTACCAGGACACCTGCAGGCAGAGGACCGACAGAGAAAGATGGAACAAGACTCAGAAGGGTTAGTGACTAGTAGAAAATGTAAGTGAATCTTTTAATATTCATGGAGTGCAGATGAACTTTAAGTCTGGTTCTGCACTTGACTGTAAGCCCATTAAGTCAGGTACCATCTATATGTTTGGATTCTCAGTTTTTAGCACAATACTTGACATAAGATAGGTACTTAATATTTGCTAAGTGAATGAACAAACATTAACCAAATCCAGAAAGCATTAAGAAAAGGTATTATATTTTGCCCCAATAAAAATTAGCAACTTGCAAAAGAAAACGATAACTAGGGATAATATCTGCAATTTAATGACAAAGTATTACTTTTAAATTCTGTAAAAGCTTTTCAAAGGCACAGGAATGCATAAATAAAGAGCATCTTCTTTCCTTCCTTTCTCCCTCCATCCTTCTTGCCTCCCTTATTTATTTTTGCTCGAGGGTGCATGTGCTCATCAGAGACAGAGGGAGAGGGAGAAGGCAACCCCCAATGGGGCGTGGATACACCATACTCCCTTCTCCTACATTTCTCCATCTGTCAGGATTTGGGGCACGCATGCGCCCAGTGTTCTTCCTAAGCCACCAGGTCTGGGACTGTGTGGTCAGCCATGTGGGATCTGGATGCCCAACTACCAGAATCCGGAGCTGGCCTAGAGAACATCATTTTTGAGAAAAGGCAAGTCACCTCCAAAATAACTGCTGCCATTTCTTAAGCAACAGGCAAGACTTTGATAAAGAAAGGCTTAGGAGACACTCTCATTGGTCTTGTGACAACTCTATGATAAGAAGGTCCTAGGATTTGGGGCCAGCAGGCGGCATGGTAGTTAACGCACTAGACTCCCACATGGCTAAACAGTGTTTGAATCCTGAACCTGACAGCTTAAAGATCACACCAGGCATGTCTGTACGTGTGCCCAAAATCCTGAGAGAACAATAGACATGAATGAACTGTGGCATGGCCATTCCCCCCCACACCCCGGGGTATGATTTCTCACTTTCCTTCCGTCTCTCTCTGGCAAGCACAAATGCCCCATGGCAAAAACCTTAAAACAAGAATTAAAAAGATTCTATGATGTTAAGACCATCCTGCTTGTTAGTGGTAGAGTCATGACTCAAACTCAATTTTGCCTTATACTTACTCTGTTCTCTTTTATCATTATTTAAAAAGTCACTGCAACAACTCAAATGATACAGATGGACATAGAAAAATAATAACTATCTCTTACCTTTATACAAACAGATCTATATCTGTTCAGACCTTTTTTTTGTCAGTTCTGTAATTTGCTTTTTTCCCCTTCACTTGTTATATATGAACCATATTTTGTCTATGAGCACATTTAAATTCCCCCCCCCCTTTTTTTTTTTTTTCAAATCCAGGTTAGGTATTTCAGAGGATGGATAAATTGAATGAAATCCTGCACTTACTGATAGACATTTGAATGGTTTTCAGCCATTGCAAAAAAAGTTGCTTGACATATCCTCATCTCTGTATCCCAGTGCACATGTGAGTCTTTCTATTGGACAGATTGCTAGAGTGGAATAATCGGGTCTGAGTGTGCATACTGTAAATTCTGCTGAACAGCTAAAATTACCTTCAGAAGATTAATTTACATTCTCCATAAGTCATGTTTTTCCACAGTCTTACCAACACAAGGCATTACAAAAAATGTTTAATTTTTGCTAAAGTTGAAATAAAAAATGGTTTCTCATGATTATTTTTAACTGAAATTTATTTGTGTGTTAGTGAGAACAGGTATTCTTCCACATGGCTATTGACTATTTTTACTTCTTTTTTAGTGAATTGCATGTCAACTTCTTTTATCCACTCTTCTTTTTATTGTTTATTTATTGTGGAACTCTTTGAATTTTAGACTTATTTCCTTTCTTACATATTGCAATTTTTAAAGAAACTTCTTTCACCACACAGATTAGAACTATGACATGACCAAATTAGCTAATCTTTCCTAGAATTCTTTGTCACTACACTATACTGCCAAAGAAGTGGTGGCAGCTGGAGAATGGCAGTTGAAAAATGGATATTTCCTAAAAATAAGAAATTATAGGTATAGGAAGGATAAAGGGGAGAATCTTTCTCTTAGGAAAAATACAAACGCTCAACTGCTAAGCTGAACGACATGCCTTGAATGAGTAAAGTGTGTTATATGTAAGAAACTAGGACAGAGAAATACCAGATTACCTCTGGAAAGCCCTGCTAAGCCCAGCGTGGTAGAGACAGACTGGGCCTTTTGCCTGATCTCTGGCTGCAGTTCCAGGTGGAAGAGTCAAAATGAGAGGAAGAATCCCCAAGGACTGTAAAAGCAAGGACAAGCCAGGAGTGGGCACAGGCGTCAGAAAGGTCTTCCCTTCTGGATGCCCGCCTAGCAGACACAAAGCCTTTGCAGGGATGGACTCTGCCAAAAGCTCAGTATGAGGCTGTATACCACTTTGCCAGCCTTCGGTCAACATGCACCAACTGCAAACCAAATTACAACATCTCAAGTATAAAAATAGGATGCTACCTTGAGTTCTCATCATATTTATATAGAAAGATCAAAAATAGCATAGACAGAATCTCAGGGCTTGTCCTACTGGCCTGCTAGTGACTATGTACCTGGGGTCTCTCCAGGAGCACTTGAGGACAGGGCTCCAGCTACTGTTTCCACAATGATCTCCATGTTCTCTGGGTCGTCTTCAGTTGCTGTGGCTTCTACCAGTAGGCAGCTTGGATCAGGTGGCAAAGGTGTGGGATCCCCAGATGGACAGGTGCTCTGGACAGGCCCTAAGATTCCGCGATTAGAGAGAGGCGGGGAGATCAGCAATAGTTCGGGGCACAGTGTATCCATCTCCCCAGTACTGCTGGCTGGCTGTGAGTCCAACCCGGAGTCTGTCATCACCGCCGGCTTTAGTGCTGTGGCTTCTTAAGTGCTGAAAAGCCAACCAGAAGAAAAACAAAATATGGTTAAAACTCTCACTTTTCCCAGTTGATGTGAGTATACAGCCCAGTGCCCGCTTCCTTGCATGGCAGCATGCTGTACCTTGTTAACCTAAAAGGAGATTTTAATTTTATGATAATGTTCAAAACAGGAAATATAAAAAATGATAAGAGTCAATATTAGGAGATAGACAAGTTTTGGCCAACATATTGAAGCCTGTATTTCTTGCCAGCTAAGTGACCTGGGACAAAACATAAAGTAATCCGGGTCTCAATTTTCTTCTATGCAATAAAACTGGGTAGAGCCAAAGGCCTTCACAGGACCCTTTCTATCTTTTTTTTTTTTTTTAAGAGAGTTTTGTGGGGCCAGCAGTTGGCATGGCTATGTCATTGGACTCCCATGTAGTTGACCGTGGTTTGAGTACCAGACCCAGTGGCTTAAACGCACATTGGGCGCGTGTGCATGCGTGACCAAGATCCCGAAAGGAGAACGGAGGAGAAGGGACTGCGGTGTGGCTATCCGGCTATCCCTCCTGGGGGGTGATTTCCCGCTCCCTGCCTCTCTGTTTCTCTCTGTCTTTCTGGCAAGCACTCATGCCCTATAACAAAAACCTCTCCAAAAAAACAAAAGTTTTGTGGGGCCATCAGGTGGCGTGGTGGTTAGGGGTGCTGGACTCCCACATGGTTGACTGCAGTTCAAATCCTGTATTTGGCAGCTTGTTTTCTCATTACCCCCCCCTATCCCTCTCTGGTCAAAATAAAAAAAATAAATAAGTACATAAATAAAGTTAAATAAAGTAATTCTTTAAGAGAGATTTTTGCTATAAGGCATGTATGCTCGCGAGAGAGACAGAAAATGAGAAATCACCACCTAGGAGGAATGGCCACACCACAGTCCCTTCTCCATTCTCCTCTTGAGATCTTCGGTATGTATACATGCCTGGTGTGAGTTTTCTTTTTTTAGAGAGACTTTTTGCTAGTGTGCTCACTGGAGAGCCAGAGTGAGATATAGAGAGACAGAAACAGAAAGCAAGAAATCACCCCCCCCCAGAGGCGATGGCCATGCCATGTAATTCCTTCTCCTCTTTTTTTTTTTTGGGGATTTTAGGCATGTATGCACACATCCCCAGCATAAGTTTCAAGTCACTGGGTCCAGGACCCAAGTCACGGTGGACTACATGGGAGTCTAATAACGTATCCATTATGTCATCTGCTGGTCCCCCCACAGGAGTTTTTATTTTTAAGAATTATTTTTATTTAACTTTGTTTATTTATTTATTCTCCAAAAATTTTTATTTATTTATTTATTTTGAGAGGTTTTTGCTATAGGGCGCGTATGCTCGCCAGAAAGACAGAGAGAAACAAAGAGACAGAAAGTGAGAAATCACTCCCCAGGGGGGATGGCCACGCCGCAATCCCTTCTCCTCCATTCTCCTCTCAGGATCTTGGGCATGCACGCACACATGCCCGGCATGAGTTTTAAGCCACTGGGGTCGGAACTCGAAGTGCAGTCACTACACGGGAGTCCAGTGACATAGCCATTATGCTAACTGCTGGTTCCTAACTTTATTTATTATTTTCCAGTTCAATCAGAGAGAGACAGAGAGGGAAAGTGAGAAAGCAAGCTGCCCGGTCCAGGACCTGAACCGTGATTGGCCATGTGGGAGTCCAGCGCCTTCAACCACCATGCCACCTGCTGCCCCCCACACAAGAGTTTTAAGCTACTGGTCTGGTATTCGAACTATGGTTCTCTACAAGAAAGCCCAGCGACATAAGTATTGCGCCATCTGCTAGTCCGGATCCTTTTCAATCTTAATTCTTCATGATATCCCTATTCTTGCAGGTGGGTAATAGGCCCTCTCTTCATAATATGGCCTCTGCTGACTTCTTCAGACTCATCTTCTACCCTAACTTTCAGTGAGTCTCTGATCCAGAGAATTTACCGTTCTCCAAATTCACTGCATCCTCTTATGTTTCCACACCCTTACTTGCTTTTGCCTCTCTCTGGACTTATATACCTTTTCCCCTTCACGGTCTGTCTTACGTGGCTAACCAACTCTTCCCTATCCTTTAAGGAGCTGCACAAATGTCACTTCTACTATGAAGGCTTCCTGACACTCTTACCTTTCTCTCTTCTGAGTTCCTAATGGCACTTTGTACATAGCCTTATCACAAACTGCATCATACTGCACTATTTACCTATCAGTCCCTCTCCTGCCACCGTTAAGTTTCTGAGTGAAGTTTATTGACATCATCACTTAAATAAACACAAACCACCAATAATCTGTGCAAGTCAGACATATTAGAAGAGTCTATTAAAAAATGTAGCAACGGAGCTGTATCAGACTAAAGTACTTTGTACCATACTAAGTCAGTGGTTCCTCACACCTCAAATAACTAGAGATATTTCACCAACTCACTGTGGCTTCAAAGCAAATGCTGGAATACAGTTGGGAAATGAATGGCAATTCAATTGCGTTAGCCATTATACCTGGCTAAAATGAGTTCAAGCTGAATAAGTAGTGATTAATTAAGAATGACAGTTATCACTTCATGAAATTAAGTCGCAGTGGTTGAGTAAGAAGATGCAAAAAAAAAGGGAAAAGAAAAAGAAAAAGAAACCAATATCCTGGAAGCTGATATTCTCTATTCTTCAGAATCCCAAGACTCAAAAATCCAGATCACAGGGATTGAGATGACAGGGAAGTGCACTTCTGCATTCCGCACTCTGATCCGCAACCTCCACTTACAGATGACCTCTGCTCTGAAGAATCTTCTAGCTCCACGTACATACCCCCCCAGGGGGACCCAATGGGGACGCGGTGCCCTCTGGACAGCGAGCCTCCGACGCGAGGAGGCAGATGGGCACGAGAGAAGAAATGTGCTTACCTTTAGGACAGCGGCATAGAGGACGAGAAAGGACAGACCAAAGCAGTAAGAGAGCCTGGGGGAACCAGGAGCTCTGCCTGGGGACCGTGGCGCACTGGTTCCCACCTGCCTCTAGGTCGACTCACCGGGTGGCCTCGGGCAGATGCAGTCGCTTCGCCTCTCTGGGTCTCAGCTTTCCTATCTGTAAAATGGAGGCGATAACAGCGTCCACATCGTCGGGCGAAAGCTGGATCCCAAAAGTCAGCGAACGGGAAAGGCGTTTTGTAACCTGCAAGGCTTGGGACGGAGCATTGCCGTGATTACCGTCTTGAGGGGAAGCAGCGGGTCCCAGGCGGGGTTCACAGCCGTGACGCGGCTGAGCGCCGGGGCGACTGGCTAGATGCTCTGGGGCCTCGCTCGTCGGCGAGCTACCTTCGGCAACTTCTCCCAAGGGTTCCCGCCGCCCAGGCCCACTCTCATCCTCTGCCTCGAGAAACTTTTGCCTCGGGCTCGCTCCACCCGCTTGCCCTCCCAGTTCCCACCCGTAGTCGCTCACTCACCTCCCGGCCCGAAGCCGGCGGGAGCCGCATCTCTATGGTCGACAGCGGCTGGAGCGCCCTTTGTGTGACCGCCTCCGGCCCAGCCACCTCGAGGACACCGGGCGTATGGGAGGGCACTCTCTCTTACTCTTGGCGGTATCCTCTATTGCTTTTCTCTATCTGTTTTCTCCCGCCGCCCCAGCTCTAAAGCCCGAGGAGTACCATCGAGAGCCGTGGGGACAGAGCGGCCGGGCCGTCTCGGTGGGTGTGGCGGGAAGTAGGTGAAAGAACCCGGGGGCGGGGCTGAGCGGCGCTTCCTCAGTGCGGAGGGCGAAACCATCGAGACAGAGGGCCAGAGAGTCATGGAGGTAAGGGGGCGGAGTGATAGGTTCTTCCAAACCACGTTGTTGGAAGCGCAAGCTGGGGCACGGAGGAGGTTTGGGTGGGGGGCTTCTGGGTATTCCGCAAGGACAGAGGCGTTGAGAACTTTGTCGGTGGCATTTCGTGCATCGGTGTTTGGGAATTCTAGATCCCAGCTCTGAGCCTTCGCCGAGGTCACTGCTGTCAGTTCATCACCCTGCGTGTCGAGCGCTAGACGAAGTAGCTGAATGGGGTCGGGTAGGGGGCGGAGAAGCGGTGTACTCGAAAAATTTGACCCCTATTCCTCGGGATCTTATTGTCTGTAATCAGACCTCGTCACATTTTGGGGTGAAGGGAGCATTTGGAAAAGGCCTGGTGGAGGAAATAGCAGATAGGCAGGATTTCAGTTGGGGAGAATGGAAGAAATAAAGAATGGGCGTTCCGAACCAAGAGAACAGCAGGCGCAAGAAGTGGGAGGTTGTTTGCATATTTGGTGAACAAGGAGTATTAGGAGGTAAGCTTTGAAAGGTAGGTGGGTGCTATGTTGCGCAGGCCCTTGAGTATGAGGCTGAAGGGTTTGTACCCAATTAGGGGTCTGCTGGGAGCCAGACATCGAAGGTGCTAGAGGGAAGAGACTGAGAGGATTGGAGGTGATCCTTATGAAGAAAGATCTGGATCTCTATATAACTGGTGAAAGAGGTGGAGATCCATTAACGTGCCATTTCAAGAACTGAAATTTTAATTTGAAAGAGAAAGCTTAGGTGGGAGGTAATAAAAGTCTAAACAGGATATTAGAAATTGAGTATGCAAGGGAGAGGGTGTTTGAAAGACATTACTCACGATAACAAGGGATGGGGTTAATGACAAGTCACCCCTGCTGACTCCAGCCAGCGAGTCCTTTTCTATCTCAGCTAGTCCCAGGGATCACAGAAATTCTGTCCATCCTTTGTCCTGATGTGAAGCTGGTTAAATTGCTCTCTTGGGTTTAAGGTGTCTCCAAACATGACTGTCAGGAAACCGAGGTATGAGTAGGTGAATGATGGGCAAACTGAGATGAGGGGCCTAGAGTCTCAGCTGTTGCATTCCAACATTGTCTCTACCCCACAGGAGGAGGATATTGAAACACACAGTAGTACTGACCTGTCTTTCCTGCTTGGAATGAATGGGGTGGGGTTGGAGAATTTATCCTGGAATCCAGTTTCTAATCTTGTGCTTTGTTCCATCTCCATTGCTTCCTACCCCTAGGTTTTGATAATGCCTCAGGGCCTGTAAGGTTCCGTTTCCTTTGTTTCCTTTTCAGAATGCCGCTTTCAGAATTTATTCTGGCCCTGAAGGACAATCCCTATTTTGGTGCTGGATTTGGGCTGGTGGGTGTGGGCACAGCCTTGGCCTTGGCCCGAAAGGGCGCGCAACTAGGCCTGGTGGCATTCCGGCGCCATTACATGATCACACTGGAAGTCCCTGCTCGAGACAGGAGCTATGCCTGGTTGCTTAGCTGGCTCACCCGTCACAGTACCCGGAGTCAGCACCTCAGTGTGGAGACTTCGTACCTTCAGCACGAAAGTGGCCGCATCTCCACCAAGTTTGAATTTGTCCCCAGCCCTGGAAACCACTTTATCTGGTAAGGTTCAGAGCTAAGAGGGCTCTGAGAATAGAAAAGGAGAATGGAGCTGGGTTCCATCAGTTCACTCACCCCGTTATGACCATTCTTATTCAGGTATCAAGGGAAATGGATCCGGGTAGAACGAAGTCGAGAGATGCAGATGATAGATTTGCAGACTGGGACTCCTTGGGAATCTGTCACCTTCACGGCCCTGGGCACTGACCGCAAGGTTTTCTTCAACATTTTGGAGGAAGGTGTGGGATGGCACAGGCAGGCTTTATAAGGGGATTGCAGGGCTTGGGGACATCAAAAAGAGGGGCTTGGAGGAGGCCTAAGAGGATTTGAACCCATGGGAACAGGGCCCAGAAGGAAGTGGTTTTGGCACAGCTCTACCTGCGGATTCAGCCATGGTGAAAAGAATTGTTAACTTTGTCACGTCTCTGCCTCCTAGCTCGAGAACTGGCCTTGCAACAGGAGGAAGGGAAGACCGTGATGTACACAGCTGTGGGGTCTGAATGGCGCCCCTTTGGCTATCCTCGCCGACGCCGGCCACTGAGTTCTGTGGTTCTGCAACAGGGTCTGGCTGACCGAATTGTCAGGGACATCCGGGAATTCATCGATAACCCCAAGTGGTACACTGACAGAGGTGAGAAGCAGCTGGGGTCTTGGCTGAGCTGTTTTGTTTTGTTATGAAGCATGTGCACTTGTCAGGAAGTGAGAAATCATGCCTGGGGGTGGCCACACTGCAGTCCCTTCTCCATTCTCCTCTTGGTATTTTGGGCACTGACATCTGCCAGTGTTTAAGCTGCCAGGTCTGGGACTTGTACCATGTACTCAGTCATGTGGGATCCACCTGCCTTAACCTCTGCACCACATGCTGACCCCTGGGCTGTTTTTCTACATGTAGTTAGAGCAGGAGTAGACAGACGGGTCTATGGCCAAATGAAATAAAAAATCTCTAGCCTAGAGGCTGGCAGGTGGTGTGGTGGTTAAGGGGCTGGACTCCCAGATGGCTTACTATGAGTCCCAGACCTGGTGGCTAGCTTTCTCTCTCCCTGGTCAAACTGAATAATAATAAACAGAATTAAGGAAATAATTCTTTTATTTTTTTGAAGAGGTTTTTGCTATAGGGTGCGTGTGCACGCCAGACAGAGAGACCGAGAGATAGAAAGTGAGAAATCAACCCCCAGGAGGGATGGCTACGCTGCAATCCCTTCTCCTCCATTCTCCTCTAGAGATCTTGGGCACGCACACACACGCGCCCGGCGTGAGTTTAAGCCACCAGGTTGGGGACTTGACCCGCGGTTGACTCCGTGGGAGTCCAGCGACATAGCCATTACACTAACTGCTGGTCCCTTTGAGTAAATAATTCTTAAAAAACAAAGACAACAACGAAAAACCTCTAGCCTAATACCCCAAGATGAAGGGGAAAATAAAGTTGATTTCTTCTAATACCAAGGACATCAGCCTTCTAAGGCACAGGGCTGGTAATGAACATGGACCAGGGTATGTGATTCATTATAGGCCTCAATCATCCTGTCTCTCCAGGCATTCCCTACAGACGTGGCTACCTGCTTTATGGGCCCCCTGGTTGTGGAAAGAGTAGTTTTATGTAAGTAGAGTCACAATTTCTCTTAACTGTAAAACTTAGCCTTTGTGGGTGGGGGAGGGAACAAAAAACAGGCTGCAAGGATACAGAGAAAGTGAAATTAAAAAAATGTTTAAAATAAATAAATGAATACACACATACATACCCCCCCCCCCAAAAAAAAAAGAGAGAGAGAGAGAAAGGTAAATGAACATGGAGAAGAGAGACCAGGGTGAACATGGGACATGAAGAGTCGGGCCTTGGAGACACCTCCCAGGACTGAGCAAAAGTTAGGTGGGCCTGTGGAAGTTTCCAGGTGACCTACACCTCCTGCATGGCATCCCCACAGCACAGCCCTGGCTGGGGAATTGGAGCACAGCATCTGTCTGCTGAGTCTCACCGACTCCAGCCTCTCCGATGACCGGCTCAACCACCTGCTGAGCGTGGCCCCGCAGCAGAGCCTGGTGCTCTTGGAGGACGTGGATGCTGCCTTCCTCAGTCGAGACTTAGCTGTGGAGAGTGAGTGAGACGGGCTGAGGGAAAGGGTAGTAGTTCAAAATGAAGGTAAGTGGAGGGGTGGGGGGATGCTCGTTGTAAGCAGGACTGTGACAGTCATTTTCCTTCTCTCTGCCTGGCTCCTCCAGACCCAGTCAAGTACCAAGGCCTGGGCCGACTCACCTTCAGTGGCCTGCTCAATGCCCTGGACGGTGTGGCTTCCACTGAGGCACGCATTGTATTCATGACCACCAACCATGTTGACAGGTGAGAGTGAGGTGCTCTTCAGATTGCAGGGCCCAGCCCCATCCCTTAAGTGCCTTGGGAGGATTGAGATGTTGAGGGGCATGTCTTTGACTGCTGCCTGTTGATTCTGCTTTCCTGCCTTCTCTTAGGCTAGACCCTGCCCTCATACGCCCAGGGCGAGTGGACCTGAAGGAGTATGTGGGCTACTGCTCACACTGGCAGCTCACCCAGATGTTCCAGCGGTTCTATCCGGGGCAAGCACCTTCCTTGGCTGAGGCCTTTGCAGAACATGTCCTTCGAGTTACAACCCAGATCAGTCCCGCCCAGGTGCAGGGCTACTTTATGCTGTATAAAAATGATCCTGCAGGGGCAATTCACAATGTCGAGGTCCTGAGGCGTGATCAGCCAGGCTATTCTTAGCTCTCCTTGAGGAAATCAATAAACACCTGCCATACTCTCCTGACCTTTCTCCCTCCCTCCCTGTGTTGGTACTTGAGTAAAACTTTTAGCAGGGCTTCCAATTAGAGTCAGGCCACCACATATACAGAGGAGGATGTGATCTAAGACAAAGGACAAGGGACACTAGAGCAATTAGGGAAATAGATTCCTCCACTAAAGGTATTCAGATAGAATATAGAGAGATGTGGGGTTATACACAGTGGCTTGTTACAGTGCTTCCTAAGGGTTCTGCTCAAATGCTGGCATGTCATGAATTTTCCCTGAACTCTACTAGCTGGTGAAATATCAGACCCCCTTTGTCCAGCTTCCTTGGGAGGACAGACTTCAGAGCAGGGCTGGGGGCTACTCTGCCATAACCCGTTTTTTTGTTTGTTTGTTTTTGAGAGATTTTTGCTACAGGGTGCATATGCTCGCCAGAGAGATAGAGACAGATGGTGAAAAATCACCCCCCAGGGAGACAGGCACACCACAATGCCTTCTCCTTCATTCTCCTCTTGGGATTTTAGGTATGCACATACCGGCGTAAGTCTTAAGGTGCCAGGTCTAGGACTCAAACCATGGCCAACTACATAGGAGTCCGGCGACATAACCATTACACCATTTGCTGGTCCCAGCCATACCCTAGTCTTAACAGGAATGTAGAAAAAGCTATGCTCATGGCAGGGAGGTGCTACTAAGCAAAGAAAGCCAAACAAGGCCAAGTATCTTTATTGCCCCCCTCCCATCTCCAGCTCCCAGACCCCACAGTACTGCTAGGAACCATCCTCAGACTCCAGGCCCAGCGGCTCCCTCCGAGCACCAGGCCTGTATGCTCCCTGGCCTCGAGACAGGCGGGGATAGGAAGAACCCGGCGTCCTGCCTTTGGAACGCTCCCAGCGACCACAGTCCCGAGTCCTGCGGGATGAGGCCCCTTGCCAGCTTCCAGGCCCCTTCCCTGGAGGAGGACCTTCAACCCCTTGGTTATGGGGTTCTGGTTTTAGGTCCATGGACTTCTTGAGGGGACCCTCAGGAGGCAGCAGTTCCTGGGCATCACTGGTACCTTTGGGGGCACAGCACTCCCCTTTCAGGTACCTCCGTTCAGGCTGTCGCCAGGGGCGACTGGGCTGGGGGGTACCTCGCATAGCTTTCTGGGTCTCATTTGGCCTCTGCTGATTTGCCCCGGTGCCTGGAATCTTCTCAAATGTGTACTGGGTGGCCATAGGCAGTGGAGCTGGCAGGGTGGGCTGGACGGTTGGTGAGGTGGATAGTTCTGAAGGAAGGACGCTGGGCAGATGGGATTCTCTGGAGACATCTGCAGCTGACTCGGGTTCCACAGGGGCAGGAGGCTAGAAAGTGAGGAGATGCAGCGAGGAAGATGCAGTTCCTTAAAATGGGGAATTGTGGGTTCCTCCTACTATCAAGCCGACCACCATCAGCTTTTAACCTCCCTGGGTAGAACAAAGCTCACCCGAGAGCCATAGCAGGGTGGTGTTTGTGGGGTTGGCAGTAAGAGGCCACTCGAGGCACTGATATGTAGAAGGTGGAGGGCAATGGAGGGGGATGCTAACTCATGGCATCACTGGATGAGTAGGAAGCTCTTCCCTCACCTGCTGAAGGCTGATGAAATACCGGTTCCGCTCGGCCTCAAGGTCAATGATGCCCCCCTGCTCCTGTTGCCTCTGGTAGAGCCGCCTGCGTTCTTCTTGCTGGCGCAAGCTCTCTGCATTGGGCTGGTACTGCTCCTGGGTAAGGAGGCAGGATGGCAGGGAGTAAAGAATAAACAGGAGGTGACAGCAGTCTTCTACAACTGCCTCAGGAGAGATTTGCATAAGGGTCCTGGTTTTGTCCCTCAGACACAGCTCCCAAAGCCTTAGGCTCCCAGTGAAGAATGTGGCTTTGCAGAGAGGATCTAAGCAGGTCAGGCCCAATTCCAGAGATCCCATTCGATGCAGACAGGATGCCACACCTCCCTCCTTACAGAACACCATTATTCCTGGCTCAGAAGGGAATCCCCTTACCATGGGATGTTGGGGCTCGGGGGCCGCTTTCAGTGCAGCAAGGTCATATATAAGGGGCTCTCTGCATACTGGACACTGCACACCAACTGCTTTCTTAAAAAAAAAAAAAAGAAAAAGAAAAAGAAGTCAAACCCCTGCTTCACAGCCCAGCATGTCTCTAACCCTGGTCAGCCAGCCTAATCTGCAGAGGGCTGAGACTGAGATGGGACAGGGCAAGAGCTGCCCAACTAGAGGTCTGGGAGTCCCCTCAAACTGCAAGTAATATGGAAGTGTGCATAAGGACACCCCCTTTTCTGGACAGAGGTGAGATTTCACTCATATCAAATGATCCTATGACCTAAATAATATTAAGAGCCACTAGAGTAGAGGGATGGAAGAGGCTGTGAGACACTTAAGGGCATCAGGTGGGCCAGCAAGGGCCAGTGAGGTCTACCTGTTTGTTGGCCACATGCTGCCGTTCCTGCTCCTGTTCCTGCCCTTGCACCTTCAGCTCCTGCTCCATGTACTGGATGTACCGAGCCAGGCAGTGGCAGTGGAAGTAGTGGTAACAAGGTGTTTTGGTAAAGGCTTCCTTCTCCTGGAGGAAGGACACATAGGGCACTGCATCAAGAGCTCTCCGAACACGTCTGTTCATCCCAAGCAGATCCCCAATCCCAACTGAGAAACCCACCTGGAAGCCATAGAGGCAGATGACGCACTGTCCATGGGGGATGTTGTTATCTGTGAGAATTTCCTTCCCTTTCTGAGGAGAGAAGACAGTGCTTAAACAGGCAGGGGTGAGAACTGTGAGCAAAGCCTATCCTACAACTTGCAGGAGTGACTGGCTAAGCCAATTTGTTACCTTGTGTTCATGCCTGCTTTCCCACCCTCCCTTCCTCTTTCCTCCATCCCTCCCTTTGTGTGTGTGTGTGTGTGTGTGTGTTCATGCTTTCCTATCTTGGTACTACTCCCTCTGCTTGGAATCACTCCTTCCCCACGTCCCTGACCCTCTCCTAAATTTGATCTTCCTGGCTTCAAAGCCCAATTTAGTTGTCTGTCCTCTCATTTAATCATCTTTAACCTATCTTGGAGATGAAAATAATACCTTGGAGAGAAAAAAAATGTTCAATTAAAATTCATCTTCTGGGAGGTCTTTCTTGATGAATTCCCCCTTGACTATCACTCCCCCTGGGGCAATTTGATCTGGAGTTGGGTTTCAGAATGAAGGTCAAGGCATGGACAACCCAAATGGACAGAGAATTCAAAAGGCACTGAGTTAGGCTATGAAATATGCATGTGTACTGTTGTTTGCATGGCCAACACTCTGGAATTCCACAAGTTCAAAGCTGCATTGTAAAGGCCTGACCTAGGAGTATACAGGGGTCTAACATGCCCACTCTGCCTCTAGGCCACCCACCTCCATTCTATTCTGAATACCTCCCTTAAAAATTTAAAGTAGAGGAAAACAGCACTGTACTTGTGTTTTTCATTTCAAACCACAAAATATGTGTGTATAGTCACTCAAAGCTCTAGCTGTTGCTTCATATGAGTTTTTTCCTTAACCAGGGTAGCAACTCTTTGAGTTTAAAAACTGTGATTTTTTTTTTCTTTTTTGTCCAGTGACAGCTCCAGTGATGGGCTAGCTTTCAATGTGTTTATGGCTAAGACACCCCTCCCCAAGATGATCCATACCCTTCTCCACTTTCACTTGCCAGTACTAAAAGAATAAGAAATGCACTGAAACTGATACAAGAAAAATGCAAGTTAAAGAAGTGAGTTTCTGACAATAGACAACTTGGGGAAGTTTCTTTTGAGATCTTTTGAAATATGAAAGTCTCATCTTTCTGGATTAATTGATGTCCTACCTAAACAAGGACTAATAAGTGACTTCAGGGACCAGCAGTTAGCATAATGGCTATGTCGCTGACTCCAATGTAGTCGACCGCGGTTCATGTCCCAGACCCGGTGGCTTAAAACTCACGCCGGGCACATGTGCGTGCGTGCCCAAGATCCCAAGAGGAGAATGGAAGAGAAGGGATTGCGGTGTGGCCATCCCCCGTGGGGGGTGATTTCTTGCTTTCTGTCTCTCTGTCTCTCTCTTTCTGTCTGGCGAGGGCACGCACCCTATAGCAAAAACCTCTAAAAAAATAAATAAATAAAATAAGTGACTTCAGATATATTTAAGATTCTAGCCCTGTGGGACCAGCAGGTAGCATGGCGGTTAAGGTGCTGGGGCACTTCCATATGGCCAACTATGGTTTGAATCCCAGACCTGGTGGCTTGATTTCTCGCCACACCCCAACCCCGTATTTCTCTCTGGTCAAATTAAAAAAAAAAAAAAAAAAAAAAGGAATAAATAGTTAAATAAATAGTTCTTAAAAAAAAAAATCCTAGCCCCATGGCTATAGTTCTTAAAAAAAAAAATCCTAGCCCCATGGCTTCCTTTGAGAGAAACTGCTCTAGCTTGAAGGGAAAGACATTTTCCCAGGTTAGTACACCTCTTACCTCAATGAGTTCATAGAGCATGGCGGTGCCCAGCCTGGCCTTGGCTACATGGCCCAGTGCTTGTGAGATCCTGAAGAGGGAAAACAAATATTAGGCCTGTCCCCTCTCCCTCACCAGGCAGAGCTGCGTTCCAAGTTTTCCCTGCTCCAACCAGCCCAACTTACGTGTGGATCTGTTCATCCGAGAGTCCTCGGGGATTCCGAATAGAGATCTGTGGTACCTCATGGGGATACTGTGGGGGAAAATAACAAGTTACCACTAAAGCGGTTCCTCCTAGGTTCTTTCCCTTTTCTTCTTGGATTCTATAGAATAAGGCCCTCACCTGAGCTGGGATCTGAAGCACCAGAGTGAAGCAGACATACTGTGAATCCTGGTCGTCTGCAGTGGCCGGGTGCAGAGTGATGTGGATCTCCCAAGGTGAAGATCTGCATGTGGATAAAGTGGAGACCCAGGATGTGACTGGGCTTGGGCTGGCAGGCTGGGGAGAATGAGCGTGAGGAAGTGAGCACTGGACTCTTCCTTTCAGGAGGATTAAAGGAATAGCCTTTGTCTACACAAGAGAAACACCACCTCTGAATCAAGGCTCCCAATGTCTTAAGACCAGAGTATGCACAGAATCCTTTCCTTGTTACTAAAGGGATTCCTGCCCACCCCTAGTTGAATACATACCTGCCATTTCCTTTAATCACCTGTAGTTCATCCAGATAGATAGACTCTAACACTTCGACTTCAGAGGGAAGGACCCTAGAGAGACAGGGGGAGACCGCTTTAGTGGTAACTTGTTATTTCCCCCCACTAGTATCCCCATGAGGTACCACAGATCTCTATCAACATTACAGCTCTCCCTGTTGAAGCCTGCCAAGGTCTATAAAGACTGGCTTTAAAAAAAAAAAAAAAAAGACTGGCTTTGTAGTAAAACAGCAGTCTGCCAAAACACAGTCTATTGCTAAACTCCTTAAATATGAGGGAGATGTTTCCTTAAGTTGTCAAGCGGCCAGATGGGCAACATGGAGATTAGAATTTTAGAGAACATTTCTGCCAACAGATGAGGATATGGATTCCCAGAGAGGAAAAACAACTAACTTGACACAAGCAGCACTAGGACCAGAGCCAGGTTTCTTGTCTCCCTGTTTAATGATCTCACTGTTATCCCTTAATGGCCATCCCTTTGACCCAGAAATATGGCACCCATTCATTAACATCAAGGTCACCAATACTAGTCCTGCCCTTTCTCATACAGCTGTTCAGTATGGATCCCAGTGCCCTGGCTACTATCTACACATATGGCCAACACAAGTCACCCTGGAAGGAGACACCAACCTGAACAGGTATAGGTGGTGTAAAGGCTGTGTCATAGCAGAAAGGCAGTCACCCTTGGAGTCCATAGGTACCAATCATTTACCAGCTATGTAATCTGGGTAGTTCTTTAGCTCTGTAAGTCTGAGTTACTCTGTCTACCACACACAGACACCACTTATTCTCTAGAGTTACTGTGAGAATTAAAGGTAGTTTGTTTATATAAAGCACCTAATAGAATCTGAGCCATAGTAGCTAGTCTGGGTCCTCTTCTATTCCTGTTTGTATATAACCTCTCCCTTAAAGGAAGGGGAGGGAGGATGTTGTTAGTATTCTGGATCTATTTATGATGCTGGGGGGCTGGTTGATCATGGTCCTGATGTAAATCAGAGGACACACATTCAAGCACAGCAACAGCGGTTATAACAATACCGAAAATGAGAGATTAGTCCACAGCTCTACCCAGCTGATACATGGAAAGAGGTGTGCTTTGCTTGCTTATAGTTATATTGTTCACTCTTTATCAAGAACAGGGCTGCCCAACCATGACCTGTATCAGCGTTCCTTTCTTTTCAAATATAAAATATGAAACCTCACACCTCAGACAAAAGTGGGTGGTTCTGGTAAATATAGGAGCAGGAGTCAACACCACAAGGTGGCTGCTGCAGTCACCACTGTCTTCTCCATGGTTTAAGAGGTCTCTTAAAAATCTTAAAGTTCTCCTCAACAGGTACAAAACCATCAGTATAGACAGTCTTAATAAAGACCAGCAATGATTGGCTCCATGAACTAACGGAACATTGAGAGGTAGCCTCAGTCAAAAGGCCCTTCAGTACTTCACCTATTCTGTGATGTGGATCTCAAATGTGAGGTACAGGATAGGATGGTGGTAATGTGGTGATTAAAAATCGGGAGGTGGGGGGACCAGCAGGAGGTGTGGTGGTTAATGTGCTGGACACTCCCACATGGCCGACTGCGGTTTGAATCTGGGACCTAGTGGCTTGCTTTTTCACTTTCCCTCTCTTTCTGCATCTTTCTCTGGTCAAATTAAAATGAATAAATAAATAAAATTAAATTTAAAAATAATTCTTAAAAAAAAAAACCAGGGAGGTGGGTAGGACGTAAAAAGGGGTTGGTTATAGAATATACTAGCGTGGACTAGCAGATGGCACAATGATTATGTTGCTGGACTCCCATATAGTCAATCACAGTTTGAGTCCCAGACCTGGAGGCTTAAAACTCAGGCTGGGCGCTTGTGTGTGCATGCCCACCCAAAATCCTGAGCGGAGAATGAAGGGATTGTAGCATGGCCATCCCTCCTGGGGTGGAGGAGTGTGCTGTCTCATTTTCTGTCAAATGCACGCACCTATAGTAAAAATCTCTCTTAAAAAAAAAAAAAAAGAATGTACTAGTACTAAGAATGTAAGACTTAGACTCAGTCAGACCCAGATTCCTAGTCCTGAGTACCTTTTGGCAAATGACTACTTCCAGGCTCATCTAACCTGCTCAGGTGCCTGGCCTCAGAAGTATTAATGAAAAGGAGGCTCATGTATGTTGTAAATCCATAGTTAGTCTCTCAACTGTTCTATGAGGTAGATGCCACACCCACTTTTTAACAGCTGAGGACACTGACTCACAGAAACTAGGTTGCTTGGCCAGCATCACACAGCTAATAAAGTTATGGCGTGAACCCACATTTTTCTATTTTCAAATTCCCAAGTCCTTCCAGATTCTGGTCTCCTGCGAACGATATCTGAGAATGATTAGAAAGATGTTTTTTCAAGAGTTAGCTTTATTCAGACAACGGTCTTCCTTAGTGCTGTCTGGGAAGGAATGGATGAGGAAAGCGTAGGCAGAAATTGGCTGATCCAAGGGGGAAAGGGGGACCGAGCTGGAGGACATCGGTTCAGAGAGGAGAAAGGGAGATGGGGCGGTCTGATGAGCAGGCAGCCCTAAGCCTGAGAACATCACTTCGGGAGGAGGGCATGGGATGGGGTGAGGCCGGAGGATCGAACCGGAGACGGCGTGGCCCGCGCTGGCCTGGCCGGCGGAGTCACGATCTCACTCGGATCAGCGCCCTTCCACCCTCCGGTCCACCCTCCCGTCCCCCGCCAGCAGCTCTCCCAGGAGAGCGTCGCCGTCGCTGCCTTCCCTCACCCCTCGCTCCACCCCACACGGCGGCCAGGCGGACTCTCTGCGACCGCCATCAGTGCCCGGCGCCAGACCTAGCGAGTCAGCCGAAGCCCACGGCCCCAAAGTTACCAGTCCTCGTCCCCCGCTGCCGCGGACGCCGA